GGTTGTTTGAGGCTAAATAGCCATTTTAAAGCAGAGTGGTCAACAATTGCTTCAAATTTTGAATGGCGTAAATAGCAATCAAAGTGTTTCACTCCAAATACTAACGCCAGACATTCGCGCTCCGTAATTCCATAATTGCGCTCTGCTTGAGACAATGTGCGTCCAGCGTACGCAATGACCTTTTCAACCGTGCCTTGCACCTGTGATAAGACAGCGCCCACCGAATCAGCGCTGCAATCAGTATATAAGCGAAAAGGTTGATCAAGGTCAGGGAAGCCTAATATTGGAGGTTCTATGAGTTTTCGTTTCAATGTTTGAAACGCAGACATTGCTTTTTCATTCATGTGAAAGGTGGCAGGGGATAGTTTCGTACTAAAGACCCGGTCAAATTTCTTAAAAAATTGAGATATCCCCAGTTTGATGTGATATTTTATGTAGAAAAATGATTAGAATAATTATGGGACACATTTGCAGTGTAGCAGAGTGCTTGCTGAAAAAAATGATGTGCAACATGTAGGTGTCACTATGACGCTTATCATATACAGAGTTGTAAATGCGAAACTAAGACACGTGGTCAGTTGCAGAGGAAATTCAGCTGAAAAGCAGTAGGCCTTAGAAGAAGGTGTGTATCTCAGAGGGAAGGTGAATGACCCCATATCAATTGGTGAATTTTTATTAGGGCTTGCATTGATTTACAGACTACTGGGTGTTTTATCCTGCTCGCTCGGGCCCGGGGGTGGGTTGTATGGGTGTGAATGAGGCCCAAATCTTGGAAAAACAAGCCAAAATTTGGGGAGTCCCCAGGTGCATTTTTGGTACATGTGCACTCTAATACGCAGATTACATGTAATTTGTTGACATAATTTGTGAGCCATGGGCATATGAAGTGTAATTAATTAGCCCCTGGAAAACTGTCCCCATGTACATGTTTTTATGGATCGCATGTATATGTGTACCCCCTCGGCACATGTTTGGCATTAAAAAAAACTATCCCCTGCTACCAAAACTAACATCTTTCTTTGTTAGTTCGTACAATGGTGAGGCAGTTTTACTGTAATCAGGAATAAATTTCCTATAATAACCCGAGAGACCTAAAAAGGCTCGCAATTCCTTGAGATTGCAGGGAGTTGGAAACTCTTGCACAGCCTTGACCTTGTCTGGGTCTGGACTGATACCAGACTTGCTAACAATATGACCTAGGTATCGTAATTCATTGTGTGCAAAATTGCACTTTTCTGCCTTAAGTCGTAGGTCAGCTGCAGCTAACCTTTCAAACACTTCTTCAAGATGCACCAAATGCTCATCAAATGTTTTTGAAAATACAATTATATCATCCAGATATACGAGACATGATTTCCAAGACAAACCCCGTAATACAGCCTCCATAACCCTCTGAAAAGTACCCGGTGAATTGGCCAGACCCATAGGTAAGCGCTTGAATTGAAACAAGCCCATGTGAGTTCTGAAGGCTGTATACTGTCTGGAATTTTCATGAATCGAAACCTGATAAAACCCGCTATGTAGGTCCAAGCTAGAAAACCATGCTGGACTCTGACATCCCAAACTGTCTAATGATTCCTCGACAGTGGGTATTGGTTGCGCTTGAATTTTTGAACACTGATTCAATTTCCTGTAGTCGCATACAAATCTGTAGCCACTATTATTTTTCTTAGCGACTAACATACAAGGCGAAGCCCAGGGGCTTGTAGACTCCTCAATAATACCCTGTGATATCATGTCCTCTAACATTTCGGACATAACTTCCTTTTGTTTTTGACTTAAGCGGTAAGTCCTCTGCCTGATTGGCATTGTATTTTCTACAATACTGATTTCATGTTGAATAATGTCACAGTTGCCTAATTTACCCTCTGGTCCGGAAAATACGTGTGAATATTTGTCAAACAAATTCTGCAATTTTCGGGACTGTGATTCAGTGAGATTTTCACCCATTCTGAATCCTTGAATAGGGGGTGGGGTCAAGTGAACATTTTCCTCTTTGGTGTAATTTGTTTTAGTATCGGGTAGCTTAACTAAGCTGTCATCCCGAGCTAAGCAACAAAATTTCCCAATGGCATCCCCTTTTTGAATTTTGATATCTCTATCTGTAAAATTTGCCACTCTTAAGAACGTTTCCCCATCTTTTATGTGACACAAGGCATTCCCAAAAATAAGACCCTCGGGGTAACCCACATTTCCCGAGCTGATGCCAAGAACCCCTTGAGGTAATTTCTGCCCTTGTACACATGCAGTTATAACGGTCTCTGTCTTTGAGGGGATCGTCATGTCATTGATCGTCGACAACGTTCGTCTGGGGTCAATGGACAATTCTTTGCTACCAAATTGAATGGTGACATTGTTTGCATGCAAAAAATCTAAACCTAAAATAAAATCAGTCATTAAATTTGGAAGCAAATAAAATTTCACATTGACAATGCATCCTGATATTTAAACATCAACAAATAACATTTTGGTGATAGGAACTTTCTCACTATTGGCTGTAACAATAAATTGCTTATCGCTCTTTGTAATGGTGCAAGATGTTTTGATAAAATCATATTTACAAACAATGTTTTCATTTGCAACACACATGTCTGCACCCGTATCAACCATAGCAAAAAGATCGTGTTCTTGAATTCTCATAGGTACAAAATTTCTCAAAAGACCTACTGATGTTACTGAAATACTATTGTTTATTTGAGATTCTGGTGCCTTACCGGTGTGAGAAATAGTTCCCTCAAAACTTGTTGACTTCATAGGGGATTCGGAAATTTCACATGACCCAGTAACACCCCCGGTCTTACTGGGTCTCACACGTTTAACTTGGCCGTATCCTCGCGGAATTTCCTACACTGTCGCTTGATATGTCCGGTTTTACGGCAATAAAAGCACTGGACATCTGTCGGCACTTGTTTTCGGTTATTCTTACGGCATTCGCGTGCGGAATGGCCCTTCTTGAAACATAACTGACACCGGACGTGTGCATCCCTGGACGCCGGCTCTCCTATCGGACACACGGTGGACTGTGCCTGAAGCGCACCCACGGCCTTGGTTAATTCCTCAATGCACTTTGTTTGCACAGTGACAATGGACTCTAGATCCTTTGGAGATTGCTTTGGTGTTTCCAAGGAGCTTGCTTCTTGTGCCAGACGGGCTCTCTTCGTCGTTTCCTCCCAAGTTTGTGGGTTATTCTGCACGACATGGATTCTGATGTTTGGTGGCAGACCTCTAACGAAAGCCGTCATCTTCTCCTTTCTGACTTTTGAAGTCTGGTGCAAACTTTCTCTATGTCCTTGATGTAGTCTTCCAAGGTTTCTGATTTAGACATGGTCCGGTTCCAAAGTGTTTGTTCCAGAAGCCATATTGGAGTTTTACTGTTAAAGTGCTCTGCCAATTGTTCATAAAGTTCGTTAGCAGATGCAAACTCTATGTTCTCAAGCCAGTTGACATCGGAATCTGGCACTAACAACTTCAGAGCATCAAAAATTGCTTCCGCATCTGTGGAAATACCGGAAATTTTGGTCCAGCTTTGAAACCGAGAGATCCAAAGGTTAATGTCATTTTCTTGTCCGGAGAGTTTCTCGGGTTTAAAAGCACTGGTTTTCTTTGTGTCTGTGTTTTCCCCAGTTGTCTTTTCCTTTAAAACTGTAATTAGTTCCTGTATAGTCGCGTTTAAATCACCCGCCATTTCAGTTGTATTAGTCTCTCTCTCTATTGTCTCTTCACCTGGTTCTTGGGCCTGCTGCCTAGTAAGAGGCATTTCTCCTGCAAGTCATCGCCTCGATCGGGTACCCTTAATATCCAAGATACCCGGATTCTCCACCAATTGTGACGATATGATTATAACTTCCAAGAAAGTACTCGTCACTACATGTTTATGGATATTTATTCATGAATTCCAAAAAGTTACATACAACTCGCTAAAACTCTAAATTCAGACTCGAAACTAACATACACACAAATCTCATCTCTTTCCCCCAAACTCCTCCCATATTTCTAAAGATAGCCAATGAAATGGAATAAAACAGAAATTGTAACATCAAAAGAAAAATGGTTGACATTAATTTAGAAAGAATTCTCAAGACAGGAAATGCTCAACCTTTTATCTCTACGCCGAATGTAAAACTCACAATACGTCATTGATACTGTGGGACAGGAGGGGGAGAGATGTCAAATTGATAAATATAACACAGATGCTGAAACATCAAAGTAAAAGTAAATTACATAAATTCACTCCTTGACAGTACAATGAACTATAATTTTGTAAATCATTTTGTGATGGAATTGATCAGAATAGACCAATCAAGCCCATCGATACTAAGTAATAAAATTTGAACGGAAATGTAAGTTACTATTAAGATTCTTGATTAAGAGTAATAGAATTGGGAACTTTGAAGCAGATAAGTAAAAGAGCCTATGGCTAGAACTCCTGTGGTGCAGAGATGGAGACTGAGTTCATAAATATTATTAATGGAGGTATACCTGGATTGGAGGGTGCTGCCGACTAAGCGTAGGAGGTATTGTAATGTGAAGTCATCGAATAAAAAGTACTTTTATATCCGGGACCATGAATACCCTCTGAGCACAATATACCCTGTTTTGCCGGAAAACGTCTCTCTCTCTTTTCTTTGACTCTTTTGGAATACTTTTTGGACTCTATTTTTTTGGACCTCACCTTAATTATTACTTTTGGAGTTTTAGTTCTACGCTCTTCTTAAATATTTGGGACGGATCTTTGAAACTTTTGCTACAACCAGCGTATTGGTCCATTCTGGTGAAATTTCAGAAACAAGCATTCAAAAATCTATGCAATCACGGTAGTTTAATAAACTTTTCAAAAAACTTTGTTATTGGCTTACAATTCTTCTAAAACCATTCTTATACTTTGTTCACCGATTGTATGGTTGCAGAAATATGTTCTAGGAACTCTTCCATCGTCACAGTTCAGCAAACCCGGCACCGGTATCATAAAGACAGAGGTTTTTCAAATAAATTTCTGCTAACTAGGCATCAAAACCTTTTGGATCACCCTGGGAATCTTGGAAAAACTCCTCGAAAGGAACTTTCGTTGCAGCTAGCTCCCTGAATGCCTGATGGGTACCCTTGCTCTTTGTAAAAAGAACAAAAGTAGCAACAACTTTTCTGAAAAAAAAAACTTACTTGAGACATAGTGAAGTTACATCAGAAGCAGATTCAAGGGTACCAACTGCCACAGTCTGTTTCACTGAAAACCCGCCAGAGTGCGCAACATCAAGATTCTGTGGTGATCCAGGAGTACCGAGATTTGACGAAAACAAATTGTTTCGGCCAAAGCGTGGATTAGTATCCGAAGAAAATTGGCGGTCAATAAAAATTCTCCATCTATAATCGGAACAGGAATAGGCTCTCCAGAGAACTGCGGAAATTATCGGAAATATATTCGGAAATTTTCGGACATATTTTCTTCCGTATGGCCAATGTGTGGTTGCTAATTTTGCATAAAAGCAAAGCTTTCACCTGGGGACAAAGCAGTTGATTTGTTGCCCTGTCGAGAGCAACATACCTTTGGAATTGGCTTGTTGGAAGTTTGTAAGGGTCAAAGTCTGGTTCAGTTTCCCTTGGATACTGGTTGTACGGGAGATAGGAGGTGAGGGTTGTGTTGAGGTATCGGAAGTCTAAAGGTTTGTCCTTGATATTTCAGGAAACGCTAAATCCAAAGCGGCTTTTATTCTGGGGAAACAACCGTTCTTTGCAGATATTACAGGAAAACCAGAAAGTTCGGGGTAAAATACGATTGACCTCATTGACCCGGAAGCGGCAGTATTAATTCGTGGATCCAAATATTCAGATACAGAGTAGTTTGAAAAATATGTCCTCTGCGAACACTGTAATTTTGGAACAAGTGTAAATATCAAACACAGAGTTAAATATCGCAATAATATTCCCGAAGATCATAGTGAGTTGGTAGTATTGATAATGTTTTGATTAAGTCAGCAAAATACATTGTGTACGAAAACGTGATCAGGCAATGAATAATATCATAATAAAATGTCCTGACAGTGCTCCGCAAAAAATATTTCTGCATATATAACCATTTTTTATTGGTTACCAAACGTTTCTTAAGTCAGTGTGAGCTGTATTTTAGAGAATTTTATTCTGCTATAAAAATGTACTATTATGATAATTCTGCATGTTACTTGAACATTTATGATCAAAAAGGACTAAAACTAATTATTTTTTTTTTTTTTTTGAGATTTGTATAGTATTATGTAAAATGTTTGTACAGGATGATAATTATGTATAAGTTTGCTTCATTCAGAGCTTCTTAATAATTTTCCAACATAAATATGACCAACAAAAACTTTGAAAAACCACCTTTCTTTCATTGAAAATTACAATTTTTTTAAACGAAATTTTCTAACAAGAAATTTGCAGTTCATATTGCACTTAAAACAGATATATTGTATATACATCTCATCGGAGTGTTGTTGTTATACATGTAGTTGTTTGAGAAACTGACTGTTCGAATTTTAAAGAGAGGCAATATATAAGTTTCAGTGCCTAATTATTAAAAAAAAGTTTCTGCTGAGACTGCAGCTCTATTGATGTGTACTTGGTGTACTTTAGTATAGTGTACTTGTGTACCAAGTCTTATTGAAATTGGACCAAACCTGTAGGATGAGTAGCGCTTTGAAAGAATTTTTAAGAAATTTCTATATATTTTAGTAACCATGACACCACCGTTTGTCGAATTCAAAAACCGACATAGAGAATTACGCATCTTAGAATAGCGTACTTAATTTTGTATCAAGATTTATCGAAACTGGACCAAAACTGTAGGAGGAGAGTGTTTGAGAGAAATTCAAAGGAATTTCTATATTTAGTTACCATAGCAACACCGTTTGTCGAAATTAAAAATCGATAAATAGAATTGGGCCAAAACTGTAGGAGGAGTGGCGTTTTGAAAATTGTTTACAGACAGACGGACGACGGGCACCGTACTATCTCATAAGCTGCTCTAGTTTCTGATCAGTACAGCTTAAAATGATGAAATGTGTAAAGATATATAAACATTATGACAGTTAGTACTTTTCATTATAACCCCTAGCTGCAGATCTGTGATCGGTAGCTCGCTGGTCTGAAATAAATTGGGATGGGCAATTATCCAAGTTTTTTTTTTCAGACCAGTGAGCTACAGATCTGGAGGTATAAAACTCCCTTTTTCCGTTTGTCTGTCCGTCAGTTTCTGTGTCGTAAATACGTCCTGTCTGCAGTGCCCTCTCTCCAATCCACCCTTGACATTTTGTCTTCCTCGTACCTCTGAAGCCACAAAAAGATTACTTTATCGTCATTAAAGGCGTGACTCGGATACCTAAAATCGAATTATTGGCTAATGGGGGGAGGGACTACATGCAAATATTATATGTAAAAATTAGACACCTTTTCGTAAAAGGGTATTCCAGATTTTCAGTAAAACAAGACAATTTGTAATTTTAAGAAGAATCCCTGGGAAATTAAAAAAAAACAACAACAAAACAAACACGGACACTAGGGCAAAAAATCTCGAATGATATCCTCATTAAGAAGGGTTGTCGAAATCACCCGTACACTCAAAGTTTTTCAACAAATACCAAGGTGTAAACAAAATCCATATCCATATATAAAACGCCTTTTTTCAAAATTTTTATTTTTCATTAACGATAGGTCTACCACACTTATAATGTTTATACATTTATGAGTTGTCAATAAAGCCTCTTTCAATGTATAAAACTTAAAACAATGATGATTAATGAGCAAATAAATTATACAAAACAATTGATTGGCGGCTTAGAACCTTCCAAAAGGAATCCCTAATATCACAATGTGATTTCCCTTTTCCCACTCGCAATGTAGGATTTGTCTTGGGATAGCTGCATTCCTCTTCAAAATGAGGTCCACCCACGCTCCATATTGAATCATCCTCCCAACGAAATAAAAACGGGGGATAAACCCACGTGGGTTTGGGATGTTGTTCTTTTTGTTTATAAACTCAAGAAAAATATTGATAACAAGTGTATTTGTAAATTACATCTTTAACAATAAATAAAGCAATAAATAAATAACGATAGCAGTTAGCCGACATTGTAATGATGTGATCATCCGGGATAGTTTCAGAAATCAGAATATTCCTAATATTTTGCTAGGTGTCCGGTTGGACGAAATTCTACAACGAAATAAATAAATAAACAATTTAAAAAGTCAGAAATGTTAACAAATGTTTATCATGGATGTAAGATTTAAGGGATTTAATTTTTTTTAACGAAATTAAGTTATTTACTTATATATATTAAAAATACTACATACTGTTATGTACATGTATCTCTCTCTTTGATAATTTAATTTCATGATGATTCAATGAAATGTTTCATGAATTTAATTAATTTTGTGGAGTTCATAATTTTTTAAGTACCTTTCCCAACAACGGATGGTCCAGCAATAAGTGGTTGAGAAGCTGCAATTAATGGCGTTTCGACAACATTTATAGATGGACCTGATTTTATTGACGGTCCTGCGGCAAGAATGGATGGTCCTGCAATGAGTGGTGGTCCTGGTGCGATGAGTGGTGGTCTTGCTGCAATCACTGGTGGTCCTGCGACAAGAACTGGTGGTCCTGAAGCAATGATTGGTGGACCTGCAATCACTGGACCAGCTTTAACCACAGCCGGTCCCTTAAATCCAACAGAGGGCGCTGTTATTAATGACGGAGCTGCCACAGCACCAGAACTTCCTGCAAAAGAAAGAAAAAATAGTAAATACAAAATTACATACAAGCATTCCAGGTTATTTATCGTTAAAATTTCACTAGACATGTTTTATTGTTGTTGTTTTCTTCAAAGCAGTCGATTTTCTTTGCATATTTAATAATTCCGAAGTAAAATCTATATTAAAAGATCAGGTAATATAAGAGATCGTGTGTTACTCTTCAAAATTTATTTATTTATGTTTTTCTTGTTGTTTTGGGGATGTTGTTCATCCTAGTCTTATACCCTAATACCGTCATGTGAAAATATAGAAATCTTTGACTCGCATTTCAAATTTTATTGTTTTTGCCTTACCAGTATTTATCAATAAGATACTTTTTTCTCCATTTCAAATCTTATAAGATGCTTTATCGATTTCATATAATATAGCAATACTTGTTTTAGTACAATATTACATGTACAGATCTTGGAAAAAGACAACTGAAAAACTGAAAATGAGTTTTTTTCATAATACATGTAAATACTTACGTATTTGAAAGCCAAGTTGGCGTAAAGAATGTACGTTAATGGGACATATAGGTCAAGATAATGATTTTATAGATAACGATTATCTCTTTTTAGTTTGTATTTTGTTTTACATAGGGTCATACACGGGACTTGTGCATGTCTACTCTCCATTGAAAGAATAAAATGATAACAAATATACTTAATGAAGAAAGTGTTAATATCCCTATATCGATCACCAAGGTGAAGAGTTCAAAACGTGCCATTCTTCTGGCATGACTGCCAATGTTAGGTAAACATACTCTGCCAATGATATTTACAGGAAACTTTCAGACCAATAAATTTGTGTTTAAAATAGAAATTATTCGGTCAATCCAGGATAGTGCCTTTTTTTCTCACCTTGACTCTCCTGTAATCCAATCAAATTGTATGCAGCAACACTGAAGAATTCTTTGGGATTTCCATAGATTGGCAATAATACACTTGACTGAGCGCAAGTAAGGGATGGTGCTCGATTCTTGTCGGGTTGAAAGGGAAGGTAAATGAAATACTGTCGCCTCTGCTCGGGGACATTTAGGGATAATTTCACGTAGGGAATGTAAATAGGATAGGCTGGATATTGTAGTTTCTTTGTTTTTCTTTCAAAAGGAACAAAAATTACACTTTGTGTTGTGGAAATTTTGTAGGGAGCATACACAATACCGTTGTTAACTAATGAAACATAAGTTGGCAGCACATTTGGTGGTAGTTCTTTAGCCAGTCGTGGGATAGGAATGTATATGGGTTGGTTGGCTCGTTCTAGTTTCGGAAGTTTTGGGTATGCTTTGTTGAATAATTTTTTGATTTTGGGGAAACAACTGTCTTTGCCTTCATCATTGAGAAATATTTCTGGGAATTCCTTAAACACTGGCTCATAACGCTTGCCAATATTTTCAGTGAATGGTTTTATGAACGGAGCAATGTTTTTCAGTGCTTCGGACTCCCTGTTTCCAGATCCGCCTGACGCAGGTGATAACACCTGTACTATTGGTGAAGATCGGAATCGTTCGGCTGCATCCCTAACAGATCCACCTGACCTTTGGGATACCAGGTATACAACTGGTGAAGATCGGAATCGTTCACCTGCATCCCTAACCGATCCAATTGGCTCAGAAGGTCCATGATGTCCAATCGGAAAGAATTGGTGACGATCAATTTCTTCCCTAACAAACACTTCACGTTTAATGTCGCCTTTCGGAGGTGGGGGAAATGGTCCAATGTTTCCTGGTCTTTCATCAGGGATAAATGGTAAGTCTCCCCCAAATGGTAACGGTACACCATCGTTAATTAATGGACCACCAATATTGTCAAACGGGAATAGCTGACTTTCATGTGCATTTCCAACAGCTCCCAAATTTGGCTCAAATAATGGCACGGGATCGGGATGAGGTGCAGTTAGAGTCGCGACTCGTACACCAGGAGCGAAGAAATTTCCATCCGGTGACACCCCTACGGGCTGAGCTCCTATCCCTGAAACTGGTAGATCAGAGCCGACAAAACGAGTGGTAAAGTCTCCAAATTCCTGATTTAGATCTTCCAGTTTCTGTTGTGATAGGACAATAGCCACACATGAGAGGAAGATAATTAAAGTCTTTGATGCAGCCATTTCTGTCGCTCCGAGTGCTGAAAAAAAAATAATAGAATAATTTTCTGTGAAAATAGTCAAAAAATAAATTTACTTTCCCAATGGATACAAAAACAAAGATAATCAAAACCTAATAAACTAGGATAAACTTACCACGTCCACTTAAAGTGGTGTGACCAGTAAAAAGTCGGGGGTTAAAATGTGACCTTTGGCGCAAAGACCACTAAGATTTATGTACTGCGATACTGTGTCCGTTCGCGTTGTGAGGGGTCGGCTGACAGTTTTCCCGCCATCGAGAGAAGTTTAATGGCAGGGGTTGACATCTCTGCATATCTCTAACAAACACCAATTGTTCCAAAATGCATACTGCATGTTTATCTCCAGCATTGAGAATTTTAGGCGACATCTAAAAGTTTTGTATTGCCCAAAAGCGCCCTACCCCTTGTAAATTCCCATTTTTAAAAATAAAGCGTATATGCGATCATTCATTTTAAGATTAAACGCTGATAGTCATTGAATTGTCATTCTTATGTTCTAACCATTTATTTGGTTACCTATGCATGCATAAAAATGTAGGAAAATATAATCTCCGCCACATACAATTTAAAATGATACAATATTTCTTTAAAATGCATTCCAATATTAAGTAAGGATTAAAAACAATGCAATTCACGAACGAATTATAATAATTTGAAATTCACGTGCACTAACATTTTGATAAAATATTAATTTTGAACTACGTAAAAATTTTTATTATGTTATAAATTAGTGTGCATAATTTTTGTTCAAACAATTGAGTATGACATCATTTTTTCTCTTTATTTTTATTACTATCATTTCCTTCATTATTTAACACAAAAAAGTTGTACATCACCAGCATTATATTTTGTAATAGATATTATTTAAACAATTTTAATAGGCTTCAGAAAAAATTAGGATAAAGTATAATTATCCAGTCCGTTATTTATTTAAAGGGAAAAAATCCGCGACATTAAATTAAAATACAATCAGTTATAGGTGCATTAAAAACTTGTTTTAATCCCAGCAGATTGTTTTCATCTGTAAAGTTTATTGTTTAATTTATTTATTCATTTACTCATCCATTCATTTACTAAGACTTTAGGCCTTCTAGAAGTTTGCTTCCATAACATCATTTGTAAAATGGAGAAATTGTGTAGATAAACGCCATTCTTCAACTTTACCTACCTGTGTTGAAAAACTTGAAATACGATATTAAAAATATAACATATCCTGCATCTTTGAAAGTTTACCTGTTGCAAGGGATTGGGTGAGGCTTTTTGAACATGCTTTTCAAGTATAAATTCAAATTTTTAAATCTCAGTGGACGGTATAATTGATATAGAAAACTAAGTCACAGAAAACAAGTCAGGTGTTTGTGTTCATACTTGTTTTATAATATTTAAAAATAACGTAAATGAATAAATCACATACTTGTAATTAAATATTAGTTCTATTATGTGTTTGCCATACAATGTATATTAATATTTTTTTCTTACTTTAAATACTTTTTGAGCATGCTCAGATCCAATCTTTTTTCAGGTATAAATTTCAAATTTTAAATCTCAAAGGACGGTAAAAATGATATAGAAAACTAAACATAGAGCACAAGAATCAGGTTTTTGTGAACATACTTGTTTTATGATTTAAAAATAAGGTGAATAAAATATATCACATACTAGAAATCAAACATGATGTTCAATACATGTGTGGTTAATTCCAAAATACATTGAAATCGTTTGCTATACAACGTATTTTTTCTTAAACTAAATACTTAATCTAAACTACATGAACACTTAATAAGTACCGGTATGTGAAAAAAAACTTCACGCATTATTACTGCAATTATACGTAGGCACGTTGTATTTCAATTTAGATGAAAAATCGAATGTACTGCAAGAATGTCAGATGAAATGTCTGTTTTTCGTTGAGTTCCAGTAGTTTCAATAAATGTCCAACAGATTCATTTATGTGTCGTTGTTGTCTATATCCAGAACTTTGGATAACACAGCTAATTCGTTAACTAACGGCCCTCATAATTGGAAACGTGGGGGTTATTTGAGGGGAAAATTCAAGGGCATTTTGTCTCAGCATCAAATACAGATCTCAAGTTTCGAATCAATCCAGAATAGTGAATATACAAGCACTATCTCCTCTCTGTCAATTCATTTTTAAGATTCCCTTTGGTAAACATCGATCAAAATGAAGTTTTGTTTTTAATCTCAAGTTACTCAGTATGTCAAAGCAAATCTTTTTGGCCCTGAAAAGAAAGTATTTAAGAGTAATTCTATGATAATAAGATAAATACAAATCGATAGCACAAGTTATATAAAAATACCTTTTCTGCCAAATCCAAAACCAATGTCGTTTCCAAATCCAATACCTCCGAACCCACCTCCACCACCAGCTCCAAATCCTGCACCACCTCCAAAAACAACACCACCGGCTCCTGCATCTCCAAATCCTCCGCCCCCGCCTCCGGCAGCCCCAAATCCCCCTCCACCAAATCCTCCTCCTCTGCCACCTCCTCCAAATCCTGCTCCACCACCACCGCCTCCTCCTCCACCAGCTCCACCACCGCCTCCAAATCCTGCACCACCGCCTCCAAATCCTGCACCACCGCCTCCGCCGCCGCCACCTCCTCCACCACCGCCTCCAAATCCTGCACCACCGCCTCCTCCGCCGCCACCTCCTCCACCACCGCCACCTCCTCCTCCAAATCCTGCACCACCGCCTCCACCTCCTGCACCACCGCCTCCGAATCCTGCACCACCACCTCCTCCACCACCACCTCCAAATCCTGCACCGCCACCGCCTCCAAATCCTCCTCCTCCACCACCGCCTCCTCCTCCACCACCGCCTCCAAATCCTCCACCTCCTCCTCCACCTGCACCTCCAGCTAACCTAAAGCTAGCATAAGTTCCAAATTTGTCTATAGGTAGAGTTATTGGATAACATGGTTGGTGTGGTCCTCTATTTTTGTCGGGGACAAATGGAATGTAAGGAACATATTGTTTGTAGTAAGTATTGAAGGCAATTTCTGGGTATGGTATAAGAATAGGATATACAGGGTACTCAAGTCTTTTTGTTTTCCGGTTTAAAGGAATATAAATGCTGAAACTTGATGAAGAAACTTTATATGGAATATACAGAGGTCCAGAACCATCTTCCAGAACATAAGCCTGTTCTGCTGATTTAGGTAGCTTGAAGGGGGTTACTTGAATTGGTATTGACAGAGCATATTCAATTGATCGCACTACAGGAGGGACATTTGGAAATGCTCTTTTGAAGGCTGCTTTATAATTAGCAAAACACGAATCAGTTTCATCACCTGGTAGAAAGAAGTCGGGAAATCCTTTTATGGCGGACTCATATCGAGTGCCACGTTCAGCAAATGGTGTAAGAACCTTTGCAAATTTAGCCAAAAATGGAGAATAAAAACCTCCACCCCCGCCTGCTCCTCCACCCCCATCACCTCCAAATCCTGCTCCTCCTCCGCCACCCCCGCCTCCACCACCTCCAAATCCTGCTCCTCCTCCGCCACCCCCGCCTCCTCCACCTCCAAATCCTGCTCCTCCTCCGCCACCCCCACCTCCATCACCTCCAAATCCTGCTCCTCCTCCGCCACCTCCGCCTCCACCACCTCCAAATCCTGCTCCTCCTCCGCCACCCCCGCCTCCTCCACCTCCAAATCCTCCACCACCTCCAAATCCTGCCCCTCCTCCACCACCTGCACCTCCTCCGCCACCCCCGCCTCCTCCACCTCCAAAGCCTCCCCCTCCACCCCCTCCTCCGCCTGCTCCAACACCAAATCCACCACCTCCAAATCCTCCTCCACTTCCAAATCCACCACCTCCTCCGAATCCTGCTCCTCCCCCTCCGCCCCCTGCTGCAACCCCTCCTCCTCCGAATCCAAATCCTCCGCCGCCACCTCCTCCACCTGCAGCAGCTCCTCCACCTCCAAATCCTCCGCCTGCTCCTTCTCCACCACCTAGGCCTGCTCCGACGAATGCAAATCCTCCTTCACCTCGGTTTACAGGAATTCCTCTTTTAAGCGCTGGTCCCCAGTTAACACCATACTCGATGGGTCTAAAGTCCAAATTTATTCTGGACTCCATGTAGGGTTGTCTTACTTCAAACTCTTTTTGATATGCAATATTTACACCCGGTGCAAAAAAGTCTGGACCATAACCAATTTCTGGATTTAACTTTGGCGGAAATCTGCCGTCAAAGTGTGACAAGAAGTCCGCTGCTGGTGCTTTAAGTTCGTTGTTGAGTGCACCGTCCATCAAAGAAAGGAGAGTTATTAGCAGCTTTATAGCCATTGTTGAGATAAACCTGTAAGAAAAGAAAATCATGTGAATTTATCAACCTGATTCACTTTCTATGAAAATCTTGAAATAAGTAATTTGGAATTAAAAAGCGTCCTAATTTTATCCATTCTAAGACATATAAACATCAAATGATTGTTTTCAGTTTCAATTGGTTGACCAATTCCCAGTTGTAACGATCAGGTTTTTCTTTCTTGCTTGATCTAATCAGTGTATTTGCATAAATGTTTAGAATTTCAATCTTACAAAATGCCCTTGCATTTCCATTGGTGGTAAGTCAAACTATTGAACCATGCTTATAATATTTTGTGGTATCATGGGACTTGTTGCAACATTAACAACAAAATCATTTCTTAAATTAAGTTCAAATTACATGTACTTAGAGGCAAGCACATAATTGAAATAAGTAAAAAAAAACCTAATCGTTTTTCCAGTTTTTATTTTATTGATTTGTGAATATATAAATTATTCAAAGTTTCTTTTTACACTCAGCTTATTTGGATACCGAATTTCCCTCTCCCCATCGTTTGTAGTTTTGTGCATCTTTTATATAGAACTTCATAAACCATTCTCGAAATTAATGATAATATTAATAATATTATAACAGCTTTTATTTCTCCTATTTTTTATCGATATACAAGTACCATCGATATTTATTTATTTATTTGTCTTTTGGTTTAATTTATTGAGCACAATGAGCATATCAGGCAAGTTCAACAAATCTTTTTTATTTTTAAAGGAGGGTGGGGGCAAAAGAAAGGACAAAATACCTGAAGGAAAAATTGAGAAAAAAATAGCAACAAAATATTGCCACCCCCACCCCCCTTTGATATTACATACCTATGTGTCATCATGGTTATGATATTAAACTTTCCTTTTGCTGTCAATAAAATTTTCCATTTTTTTCTCACATCCTTTTTTTTTTTTTTTACCTGAATCTTCGATATTACGACAGATCTGAGATTTGAACGATGTGTTACTGGAAATAAGTAACGTGTTCAGATTAAAATGAATTGAGAACGTGTTTATTTCAATCAACTTATGCAATTCCGATTGCATAACATACCATTTATAATTTTGAGTGTAAAGAATATTTTGAGTATCGTTTTTTTTTATCAATTGAGGCGAGTAAGGTACATTAGTAGAATTAAGATTCTGAATTTCTGTATTTTCTTAGTAAGTCCTACTCCTTACCGTTATAAGTGTGTAAAGTTGGCTGGCCGCTGAAAAAAACTTTCCTCATTTACATCCATCAAATGACCGCCGGCCCAGACAGCCTATTGCAAAATATATCTTCCTGAGACAATTGTAGAGGTTATATATGTATTTGGCAACAGGATGACCAATATCCATAAATGTAAAAATAAACTTCACATTGTCTTTTTGAGAGGTGGGTGATAGAAGTGTTTTGTCACCAAATCCAGCACGTTTGATTGTAACCTGCAGGCGCAGATCCAGGAATTGAAGTTGGGGGGGGGGGGGCACAAAAAGTAGGCAGGGGGTCTGAGGCCGCCTTGATGCCCCCAGTGTTTGAAGGCCCAGGGGGCGAAGCCCCAGGAAGCTCCTGGATTCTAGAGATTTTGTAAGGTAAAAATGAGGTCTACCGAGTAGACATTAATTCATTTTCTCGACGAAACTATGCTTTAAGCTAACTTGGACAATTTTAGGGGGCGCCAGGTGTGCCCCCCTTTAATCCGCCACTGGCCTGAAAGTATATCTTGTACAAGAATAAAAAAAAAATTCTTGATGAATTTTTTACGGTGATGTTTTAGTACCCTATAGATTCAGAGAATGAAAACTTCAGTTGGGCCTTGTGTTGTTTTCTCATCAACATTTCTACTGAGCCTCTAGCACAAGTACTTGTGGACTGGACCTCTGCTTCTACGATGCACCCCCCCCCCACCCCCACCCACCCACCCACCCATCCTTATTGATTTTTTAATTATTTTATCTTTATGTATTTTTTTCTTATTTCTTTTTTTTAATCTCTTACAGGCACGTAGTATCAGACTGTAAACCCCCCCCCCCCCCAAATGTGTAAATACGTTGCTTCATTAATTTTAAAATCCACTTATATTCTCCCTCACTACGTTCGTCCGAATATAAATTAATTATACTCTTTATTCTGTATTTATAAATAAATTCTGAAAATATAACAAACTCGTGTATATGGAATGCTGCTCGTTAGAACGTTTATTACAACACATCCGAATACAGTATTTTTTATTTATTTACCATATAATAATACATATATATTTATGTGTGCATCTAATTTACTGGTTTCAGTTCCTAATCCTACGGTCTATACGAGCGGTAGAGTGACTTTTTAAGCACGCATTTGCTATTTATGACCATGTCACGTGACATAAAAACCACACAGATCCACCACTCTCTCCACAGTAAATACCCATAACGAAAATAATAAAATGTTTGTGAAGTAATGGTAGGTCAGTAGTATGCGTTACCAGCCCAGGGCACCCAGAAATCGAGAAGTTTTTGATTCGATCCTCGTTTATTTTTAATACAATCAAGTTGTTTGTCAGTATGATTTTATTTTCTGATTTTTTTTTTCAAAATTACTGCATTAGATACATTTGGTTCAGTTGCACCAAGTATCGAAACCTCACCGTTATGGACAGGCAACATTAAAAAGGTAAATTCTTTTATGGACAGGTAACATATTCAAATGTGCTATCGACAATACATTCTAAATATTGGTTTCAAAACAACAATTAATGAAGCAGTACATGTGATTTTTTTATGCCCCTGTATCGAAGATTCGGGGGTATATAGTTTTTGCCCTGTCCTTCCGTCTGTCTGTCTGTTTGTCCGCAAAAACTTTAACATTGCCCATAATTTTTGATTGGTTAGAGCTATGGCTTTCATATTTCACATGTGTATTCCTTGTGACAAGACCTTTCTTTGGGTACCACCATATTTGACCTTTTGACCTTGACCTTGGAGTTTGACCCAGTTTTGCTAAATTTTTCCCAACTTTAACCTTGGCCATAACTTTTGAGCGATCGGTGCTAGGGCTTTCATACTTCACTTGTGTATTCCTTGTGGCAAGACCTTTCTTTGGGTATCACCATATTTGACCTTTTGACCTTGACCTTGGAGTTTGACCTACTTTTGAGAAACTTTAACATTAGCCATAACTTTTGAACGGTTAGTGCTAAGACTTTCATACTTAGCATATGTAATCCTTGTGACAAGACCTTCCTTTGGATACCAACAACTTTGACCCTTTGACCTTGAAGTTTGACCAACTTTTGTAAAACTTTAACATTGGCCATAACTTTTGAACGGCTGGTGCTAGGGGTTTCATATTTCACATACGTAATCCTTGTGACAAGACCATCCTTTGGATTCCAACAACTTTGACCCTTTTGACCTTGCCCTTGGAGTTTGACTTACTTTTGGAAAACTTTAACCTTGGCCATAACTTTTGAACCGTTGGTGCTAGGGCTTTCATACTTCAAATATATAATCCTTGTGACAAGGCCTTCCTTTGGATACCAACAACTTTGACCCTTTGACCTTGGACTTTGACCTACTTTTCGAAAACTTTAACCCTGGACACAACTTTTGAAAAGTTGTTGCTAGGGCTTTCATATTTAACATGTTTTTTCCTTGTGACAAGTCCTTCCTTTGGATACCAACAATTGTAAGCCATTGACCTTCGAGTTTGATCTACTTTTGAAAACTTTAACCTTGATCATAACTTTTGAACGATTGGTGCTTCAGCTTTCATATTTCACCTGTATATTTTTTGTGAGAAGGCCTTTCCTTAGGCACCATTAATTTTGACCATTTGACCTTGACCTTGATGTTTGAATTACTTTCGAAAAACTTTAACCTTTTCCATATCTATTCAATGGTTGCTGCTAGGGCTTTCATATTTCACAGTTATATTCCTCGAGACAAGACCTTACTTTGGGTAACAACATATTTGATTTGCATTTGAGAAAGTTTAACCTTTGCTATAAGTTGCCATACGGGGGCATCAGTGTTTCACAAACACATCTTGTTTTTAATATTTGGAAAAGGTTCTTTTTTTATGGTCTCTCTTTGTCTTTTCTCCATTTTTACAAATTTTTGCTTTTTTCTTCGAGTTAAAATGCACACAAATAACATTTTAAAATCGTGGAGAGATGACCCAGAGATAGAACATTTATAGAAAAACGTAACCTGTTTTAACAATTGACTTATCTAGTCATATTTCATAGCAAATTTCAGCAAATCAAAACACGAGAAAGCATTTCTCTTTCCCACATACCATGTGACAGGTCAATGAAAATTTCACTTTTCAAGTGTGACCAGATTCATGCCGAATTCAAATCAAATGCACCCTCATTCTTTTGAAAAAATACCAGCTTGCTTTACATTTGGTAATTTTTTGTAAATTTTCCTTTGAATTTTTTCTTCAACTTTTCCAATTCTTAGACTCACATGCCATCTGAAACCCAAATGGGGTACATTCTTTATTCTAATGATGGTGAACTGGTCAACAATATTGACCTCTTTGTAGGATAAGATAGTAGAAACCAATTCAAGCCAAAAAAAGTGCAAGGTGCTTCGTTTTTGTTTTTGTTTTGTGTGTTTTTTTTTAACATAATGCAAACAATTAAAATAACAAATCTAAAGATTATCATCAGGTCTGACAAAATGATCAATTTGTTTCCATTTTGGAGAGCATTTTTCTGACATCAACATAAATTTTGGTGGCCTTCATTTTTCACATCAAATTGTGAGGTAGTTTTTACAAATGAAGAGAGAAAAAAAACTTCTTATATGGTTTTTCAAGACTTTTCTCACAGACATTTGACATTACTTTTGTATTTTTCTATTACTAAAAATATAACCCTATCAAATAAACCTTGTGAATGATTAGGTAAGGTCATATTTCTGTGATTAGAAAAATATACAATAACAAGAGTGTATGATTTTTCCTACTCTTTTACTTGTCAAACCACTTTTTTACCCTATCCCTACCCCAGGGATCATAACTTTTATAAACTCAAATATTTAAGAAAGTTTCCTATAAGTATTGCCATTTCTGGCTCAGTATGGTTTTCAAATAACCCCAACTTATTTGCACTCTTTCTTTTTCATCTCCCTTTGGGAAATGATTTGGTTCTTCACTTGTACAAACTTGAATCCCTGTCACCCAAAGAGGCTTTGTGATAATTTGGCTGAATTTGACAGAATGGTTCTAGAAAACCAGTAAAAAAAAGTAAAATGTTTACATACAACAGAAGAAGAAAGATAGCAATAGGTCATCCAAGTCATGCAAGTGACCTAAAAAAGTCAGAAAAAGACATATGATTTCAAGTATTTTAATTAAGAATCAGACTTTAAAAATTATCACAGTTTATTTTCTACTTTAATTTTTTTAAAATAAAAACAAAGTCACCTGTACACTTATATAATACTCTTTGCAAAATACTATCTACATCAATTTAATCTTTCTGTTGTATGGACTTTCAGTATAGGATATTTTTTCTTCATTCAAATGTGTCCAGTATGGAGTTCTTATTTATACAGCATGAATCCACATCAACAGAAAAAAGCATTAGTATCCCCTGTTCCACATGATTTAACATACATGTAACACTTGTCAAAATCCACTGAGTTCAAACGGTCATTTGCATTACTATGCTATGCACCACCAGAGGGCATGATCTGTTGGCCTGGATATTTGATTTCCTGGTCTTTTGATGAAAAGAAAGTGTATGATAAAACAATGTCATCAACATTAGCCATCCTTGGATCATCTAGCAACTCAGGGTCAAGGTAGAAAAAAACAGGCATTTCCACCTAAAAATAAATAACACAAATTAAAAAAAAAAAGAATGCAAAGATGGAAAAGTTTGTGCAGTTTATGAAAAATTGAAAAAAATACTGATGCTAGTATAATACAAGCCCATAAGGATGTATTTTATTCATCCATCTTCGTCATTCTTATTATTTATTGTGTGTAATGTAATCTGAAAGGGTAAGAACCATATATCATAAAGTCTTAAAGTTTACCAAATCAAATAATCAAACAACATCAGGCACCGCACAGAAGAAATGGAAAGGGCAGATGCTGGATGGAATGCTGCAAGAAGAGGAGCAGCCAATAGAAATGAGAGGAGACACTCTGTGGAGGCCCTATGTGCCACCAGACACAAGGAAGATAAGCAACACAATAAAAGTTCATATCAAAGAGGTTTGATCTAAATTTTTTTGACACAATCAGAGGTAGCACATTCTAATAAGGAACCATCAATTATTTGTTGTGTTACATCAGTCTATATTTTGTGTGGTAGTGCAGGGCATTAGCATGGACAAGGAATCTTATGAAGATGAAATAATGCAAATAGGACAAACTTTCAGAAAATCTTGAGAATGTCCATGTATCTTCATTTGAGTACAATATGTGGTGTACGTGGATTATCTTTAAAAGCTTGAAAATCATCAAAGAACGGGAACATTACTAATGTCTCTCGACTCCTGTAGAGAAAGAATTTAAAATTTTCCAATTTACATTTCAAAATTAGCTCACTATTATGGTAAACACCACCCAATTGAAAAACAAAACAAAACAAAAACAAGAGACCTATATTGGCCAAAATGCTCACCTGAGTTACTTAAGGCCCTTCTGTTCTTTATCAGCAGATTTTTTCCCTATATATCCCTAGGTAAAATTGAGATAATATGTTGTGCCTCCCCCCCCCCCCATTTGAACTTGAATCACAATATCTACACTGCCTGAGGATGCTTCCATATAAATATGACCAATTATGACTTTGCTGTTCTTGAGACAAAGATTTTTCATATGTATTCCTATGTAAAGCTTTGATGGCAAATAGTGGTCCCACCATACCCACAGGGTCATGAATTGAACAAACTTGAATCTACACTACCTGAGGAAGCTTTCACATACATATGATCAATCATGACTTCTGTTCTTGAGACAAAGATATTTAAAGATTTTTTGTATGTATTCCTATGTAAAACTTTGATGGCAAATAGTGGTCCCATCATACCCCGGGGGTCATGAATTGAACAAACTTGAATCTACTTTACCTGAGGAAGCTTTCATATACTGTACATATGACCAATCATGACTTTGCTGTTCTTAAGAAGAATTTTAAAGATTTTTCCTATGTATTCCTGTAAAACTTTGATCACCCATAGTGGCCCCACCCTATCCCAAGTGGTCATGAATTAAACAAACTTGAATCTACACTACCTTTGAAAGCTTTCACATAAGTTTCATTTTTTCTGGCTCAGTGGTTCTTGAGAAGATTTTTTAATGACATCACCCAATTTTCTCTATTTCTTAATTATCAACTCTTGGAAGAGGATGGGGCCCTTTATTGAATAAACTGGAATCTCCTTTACCCAAGGATACTCTGTGCCAAGTTTGGTTGAAATTGGCCCATTGGTTCTGGAGAAGAAGATGAAAATGTGAAAAGCTAACAATGATGACGCCAACAACGACAACAAAGACAGTCAATGGACAAATTTCTGCTATTATGTGCCCTAAGATCAGGACAGTCACATGGTTAACTATAGCTAAGATCATAACAAAATTCTCCACAAGAAGAATGAACTGTGAATTAATAATGCTGCTGATATAAGCAATCTTTTATTAAGGGAAGATTTATGGTGTTATCTGCTCCTTCCAAACTGTCCACCTCTGTACATTACATAAATCAAACACCCCCAACTTCTACCGGCTGTGTTCTGTCACTGGACTTGTACGGAGAGGACATTTTTATGTTTTACTCTGAATCTTACATTTGATCGAAGGACTTCTATTGCTGCATGGGAAAACTTGTTCATGACCCACTGTTATAGGATATTGTCATTAATAGAAATATTCACACCATTATATTTTCTTTCATTTTGTCCTCATCCTAAATTTAATGGCTTAATTAATATCTGGGCAAAATGAATTTTTTCCTATACTCATAGCTTGCAAAATAGCTCTGGGGACTAATACATGTAATACAACTACATGTATAACACAGAAAATAATGAAGGGTGTATAATTTGCAAACAACAAGAAGCTACTGTACATTTGAATTATGTTTATATGGTGTTTTATATATGAATAATACCTATCTAACTTATAAATGTTTGGCAGAGGTACAAAGTTAGATAACTGGATTTTAACTTAAATTATCACTTTATACTAATACATTGTACATGTATTCCTATCATATTACTAAAACTCCCATAAACAGATGATGGAATATATTGTATGTGGTTTGTCTATCTAATTATCTACAACTTAAACCTTGATCCTAGACATAAAAACTCTTTTTTGCTCAGATGGTAACATATTTATACTAAAGGGCTTATCAGACCTAGAACCCAAAGTCTTTAGAAGTGTAAAATTTGTGTTCATCCATAATTTGGTAACAGAAAAGCAGTCTAGAGGCTCAAACTTGGCACAAGTAAAATATCTCTTATGATCCATGCATGTAATGGAGAAACAGTAATTGCTCATTCTTGGCACAATGGTAACTTAAGAATAAAAGATTTGTCATGAAGTACCCTGAAACCAAGGTCTCTTCTAAACAAGCTCACAGTGATTGAGCTAGTATGTAAAATACATGCCCAGTCCATTACTTTGTAACAGGAAAATATTAGAGACTGATGTCTACAGAGTGTGACAAGAGCCTGACTTTATATCTTCGAAGGCCAAGGTCATGGCGATTAATACTAGTACATGTATACATGTAAAGCTAATGTTCCATAATTTCATAATATTTTTGATAACAAAAAGTGGCTAATATTACTGGAGGTCAGGACCATGAATGAAATGTCATTCATATTTAAGCATCAGAAATTATGTTATTATTATTAAATTACAGTAATTTAAATATAATTCATTGTTGAGTATGTTCTATATTTTTTCCCAACACTACCTGCTTTGAGCATAGGCACTCTAACTAATATGTCGATATACATGAACGGCATATGAGATGAAGTGCCAATGGTTTCCGAGTAGTTTTGTTAGGTCAGATCTAGTTTTTGTCAAATTACATAACAATTAACTGGGCCATGCTTGGAGGACTTTGTGTTTGACTAACAAATACATGGTATTTAACCTGTCATATATTTCCCATTGGTTTTTGACTATATCTGTTTACCTATAATTTGAAATATACAGCTGTTACATTTGTCAGAATATAATTTGTGAGAAGTAGAGAGACTCAAAGAACATTAGCCAATTGAATGTTTTGTTTGCCTATCATAACAAGTGTGACCACTTCAAGCACCTGTTCTTCATCATGGAGTGATACTTACATTGTTTATTTATGTTATTACATGTACTTATTGGCACAGCCTGCATTAAAAAGATCCTCAATTAAACAACTTAATCTAATATCAAAAAAAAAGGAAAGAAAGAAAGAAAAAAAAATATGATCCAATTTCCCTATCAGGACACTTGAAAATGTAAAACATCCAAAGTATTTGTTTCTTACATAATACTGGAAAAACTATGCTTAACCTATTTCTATACAGTTTTTAATAGTCACTTTAGTCATATCTCTCCAAAATTAAATTATCTGTAGATCAAATTGATTTGTTAGGATGGTTACTTTTGATTGATGTCAGATAAAATCTGATGCTTATAGAAACAAAGACTTTGAAATGTGAGGCAACTGTCTGTAATAATCAATATATTTCCTCCATTACAACATTCATTGTAGCTTTATAAATGTGTTATAGGCCTTTTATCACAACAAATTAAGTCTGATATCTATCTCTAAGATCAATTTAGTTAAAATGCAGCAAGAAGGTTTTCTTCATTGGTTAAGGTTATATGTACATGTATTATATTTGAAAAGATCGGAACACATATTTGATTGCAAAGCATTTGTACAAATGGGCTTAACAAAAGAGATTGTATTATGCTGATTATATGGATTTCTTTCACCATTATTTAAAAAAAAAAATCCAAAGATTATCAGCTACCTTATTTTCATCTCCTCAATTAATTACAGCAACAAACTATGCCTTTTGATTTTTTTAATATTCTGATAAAAGGTTGTTAACTTTAATGAAATAAATCTTATAGAAAAAGAAACCACCACAACATTTATAGGATAAATCTCTTCTTAAGTTGTTGTCTGTTTGATAATAGGTGCCTGCACTGGTTATCAAAAATACTTATCATTTCTAGAAAGCCAATGTGACATCTGAAAGGAAAATTCAATACCGTGGCTGGCAATTTTTGTGAGATAGGCTGAACGTTCTGGTGTTTGGTACATCATATTCTGAAGTGATTCAGACGATTTAACACACAAAACAGAGATGCTGAGTCACACATACACACACAAAGAAATGGCCTTGGAGTCTCAGAATAAATCTATTGAGATATTTTATTCTAAGAGCTAACTTAATTCTATCAAAAACTTATAACTATAACCGATGTATTGATTTTTACTCTACATTTGTTGACAACAATACTCCCTTTAATCTTTATGCTCTGACCTGTTCAAATACTGATGTTACAAACAGCTCAGACACACATCTGTATACAGAACAAAGGAAATTATTTTGCATCTCTAAATATCTGTAAAATATGTTATGTACTAGCTACTTTACTGAAATACTTATAATGAATTTTGTTGCCAAACCTTTAAATCAAGATTGAAAGAATCTATTTTTGCCTACATTCAAAAGAAGCTCATTTGCTGTCAGTATCTATTTTATTTATTGTTGTAATTTATTAGGGCAACTAAATCTAACTGCAATTATAACTTCCTTTTATTATAAAAGTTATAATAGGTCTTACATCTGGTTTTTTTTTTTTTTGAACGCTAGCATTTGTCTACAATACATGTATATTGATTTGAAATTAGATAAGATTGAATATACAAAAAATATATGAGATATTCATGTACCTGGGGAATTTTCATTGTTAATTATAGTTGGATGTCAGAGAAGACTCTATGTATATCTGTTTTTATGAGCTTTGGTCAGTATCCCATTGTGATTAATGACAGACATGAATCAGTTCTGATGGTGAGATGTGTCACCTCTAGCTGTAGAAACAGTCATTGATGTGGTCAGCCAGAAAATGTTGGTCAGAAATGATGCCAGGGTCAGTCCTATGTCCAATCTGCACATGGATTGATAAAGACAGAAATCAATCAGCAGGGAAGAGCTTACAGACTTACTTAGGAGTCAGATTTCATTTTCGGTGCAACAAAGCTGACTATTCTGATAATATGAGGAAATTGTGAGTCACTGAACATGACCAATATTTGGATAATGAAGGCAATTAGGAAAGTGTAAATAATATTATTCATGCATGAGTTAGCAGTCAATCCCTGACACTGCATGTAATTGATTACTGATCAATTAATTAATGGCTTATGGCAAGAATCTTTGCTGAAGTTTGAAGTTTTGAATATTGGAATTAGGAAATGCTAGTTTCAAATCTGATAAAAAAATAAAATGGTTACATTAAATTAAAATCACTTAGAAATTTGTCAGGTTGTTGTCAGAATCTATTGAGCTTGGTAGAAATGGTTAATCAAATCAGCCAAAAAAAAAAACACTTCTTGTTACTAGCTAAGTCTGGCTCATTGAACCTGTCAACAGGATAATGCAGACGCTAGATGGAATGTTTTATCTGTGGTGTCCATCACTTGAGAAGAGATCAGACAGCTTCAATGGTTTATTGGGGGTAAAGGGCATTGAGAAGTGCAGATTGAAAAAAAGATAAATTATCATCTGCTCTGCATGTTTTGTACACAAACAAAAGGCATGTTTGTACAACTGAAACATATGCCCTACATAACTCAGACAGGTATTCATTGCCATATAGACAAACATTCAGATAGAAAATGGATGAAGCTGGCAGATTCATTCAGCTGTCTATAGAATCTGCATATGCCTTAATGCATCATTAAATAAATGCACACACATGAAACTGTATTTAGAAGCATTTAAGAGGCAGATGTAGTTCTGTGGTTACTCATCTATAGAGAACATCTGCCTCCTCCTTATTTCATTAGCTTCCAAAGAAAGATAACTTATTTTTCTTTTGAGCTTGCTGTCAGATTTATCCTTCTTAAACATTTCATAAAAAATAAAAAAAAAAATTCCACATAAAATGTATCAATAATAAGAGCCTTCATTAAAATAGTAAAGTGTCTTTTAGTAAACTGAATGTCCATCCATCTGTCTGTCAGCTCCTTTATGTAATGTATTAACTTAAGGATCAGGTTTAATTATCTATTTACCACACAAATTCACAGTAGGAAGAAAATGGCTTAATAAAGAAAATATAGATTTTGGTTGAACAAAACAAAGATCAAGTTCAAAAATCAAAATAATTTATATCTTAAGATAATAAAATGATATATATTTTTTTTTTCATATGAAGCAGTTACTCAAGTACTTTAATATGAAATGATTTAAATACCGGTATTCAATTTTATACTTTAGTATTCACGATCACTGTACACAGGATAAAGTTATTTAAAGTCAATTATTATTTTAGGGTTATCTGAACAAAAGCCAAGGCCAAAATAAATTTTCTAAGATATTTAAGTGAAATGAGAACTAAATTTTTTACTACCCAAATAACCTCATATTTAATAAACAGCTGAAGGACAAGTGCTTAAAAATCTATTTGTCAGCTCATAGTGTCACTTAATTCTAGGCCATGGTCAATAGATCATGAACATTGATATGTTTACTTAACTTCAATGTGGTAAGATAACCTATATTTTTGAAAAAAAACATGTATTTACGTATGTTTTAATATTTATTACACATGAAGAGAATTGTTACAGGAAGACACCCACAGATTTTGAGTCATTTGAGCAAAGGACATTGACAGAACAATTGAAGGAGTTTGTCAGTTTTTTTTTCTAATTTAAAGATATTGAGAATTTAATCTTTTCTTCCATTTGTTTGCTTGCTTATTTTGTTTAGGTTTTTGTTGTTTGTTTTCCTGTTTTAAAACAGTAAACTTCTTCCTTATTTGTTCTTGGCAAATATAGTTGAAAATTATTCTTCCCAACAATATTAAAATGTAAAAGTCCTGTGTCAAGAAAGAAATTTTGAAATAAAGAATTAGCACATAAGTTGGAATACAATAGATGGTGAAGTCCAAGCAAGATCCTTGTTATCTATACAAAATGAGCTGTACACTAGAAATCAGACCTTCATAACTGCTACAATACTTCCCTCCTATTTCCATGTGAAGACATCACCCCAGGCTCACCACAATAAGCTCCTGAGACTATCAGTTCCAGGGAATTGTCACAGATTTGAATGAAACAGGAAGGGATAAAATGCAATAGACTATACAGAGATTTGAACTATAAGGACCTCTGAAGATCTTCACACCCAAAGCAATCTGGCTACACATTAATGAACCTTCCTCACCTACACACTTTTCTTTGGTTCACTTCGATGTAATTAAGGTTAAAAGTCATAAAGATAAAATGATTACCTCTTCACCTGGGTTTAGCCTCTGTTCCTCAAAGCAAAAACACTGAAAAGGAAATACAGTTCTTAAAAGTACTTGTACTGAGAATTTTTAGCAAATGGGTGAATTAAAAAAAAATGACCAAACGCATATTTATCAACCCACACTAAAAATACAGGCAATGAAAACAGATTTCTATGTCTCAGCATATGTCTTTAGATAGTGTCTAAATACCTGCCAAATATCTCATTGATATCTCAATGAACAAAAAAGTTATGCCCAAAAATGATGCTAAAATTGTCAGGAGTGCAACACCTTTTTGTGACATTTTGAAATTTCAATATTTTTTGGAGATCTGTGAAATAAAAAATAATGCTTCATGTTGAAAATAAAGACTTTCCTGATAATGTTCAAAGTATTGAGCTTTAAATGTGGACTGTCATAACTTTTGTTTAATCAGGTTGTAGTCATGGCTGATGTTTAAAAAAATGTTATACCATGTCAGGAGTGCAACAGAAAAAATGTAGTGTTGCCAAAAAAACATCAATTGTAAAATTCTGATAGAAAATTAAGACAAAAAAGAATTTTGGAAGTGTAAAATAATAACTGATATACATTTTAAAACTGAAAAATGTTACATAAATCACAAGCAGCATTAATGAGAGTCAAGTATATGTGCATACCCAAAAATGTCAGGAGTGCAACATTTGATGTTTTGCTCCCAAGCATGAAAAAACTGTTATCATTATATGATTTTCTGATTTTTATTTTGGAAAATAAAGACACAAAGAACATTTTTACCAAATAAATTTATCAATTACAGGATCTCTCTGTGCTTCAGATCCATATTTCTATGGTCAGGAGTGCAACACATTTTTTTAAAGATTCAAGTTGTGTGACGAAAAGACTTCTATTCATGCTTAGAAGTATTCATTAATTAATAATGATCTTTTTGTATAATTTAATGCTAAATTATTGACAGTTTTATTATTAAAATCCTTCCTTTTTCAATTTTATCAATTCAGATGTGTTTTTATTTATTTTGTGATTTTTTTAATGAACGTTAAAAATAAACACACTAAAACATTGTCATAAAATTCAAGTAATTCCTTCTCAACTTCACTGAAACAACAGAACAAGTTCTTATGTAATTTTCACTTCACAATTCTACTTTAAAGGCCCCAATGCTTTTGGTCAGGAGTGCAACAAATGTGTTAGAATTATAAATCATCCAATAAGAATAAAAATAAAGAAAAAATGATGAGTAGAATTTTTCTGGTGGGTTACTGTTTTTGTCTTCTAAAGGAAAATATGCTTTAAAATTTATTTTATCTTCTAAATATACATTTAAGCTAGTTTTTTGGCATAAAATAGAGTATAATTCCAGATAAAATGCGAATTTTAAATACTTTCATCTGTTTTAATTATGAAGTATTGGACTATAAGTATTGCACAATTTCATTACCACTTGATGTTGCCCACACTTTATGAATTTTTGTGTTCTATGGTTTTTATTTTAAACTTTACTGCAGTCAGGAGTGCAACAAAACTGCTTCATAATTACCGATGCTTTTTAATTATCTTTACTAAAAAATAAGTTGAAAAAAAATGCTTGATACTATTTGATGTTCAAAACACTATGTCTATCAACAAATTACAGAAATTTTACAGTCAATTCAGGGAATGGTTCTCATCATTTCACATATATTCTAAATACAATTTATATATATTACACTTTGCAAATAATCATGTTTTAAGGTCTTCAAAATATGAAAAACCTGCTGTAAACGATGAAAAATATCAACATGACAAATTGATTTACAAAGTAAGAATGGGTTATTGTGTGTTATAATTTTTAAAACAATTTTAAATAAAATACATATCAGATGTCAGGAGTGCAACACAATAATGTAACATAGGGTCACTTCAAAATCTAGTATTTTTCGTAAGAGAACTAGTATATAACAATTCTTTTTTGGCTTAGATTTAAAGAATTGACTTGAACGGACAAAAGAGTGAATTTTGGGGAATTTTATTGCTTCATATTTTTTTCTTATTAAAACTTTTCAAACCAGAATTGAAAAAAAAAATGTAAAATAACAATCAAAAAGCCACTTTTTTGTCACATGTACAAGAGAAGATACTCACTCAAGGTCTAGATTTAATCATTTATACCCCTTTTACCATTTTGAAGCATAAAAAACTATAATTTCTTGTGATTATGTATTTTAGAAAGTCTTTAAGGTGTAATGTTATTTTCTTTTTTCAAAAGAAATTTTACTAATAAAAATTCTGAAACTTTTTAATCCAATTGTCTATTTTATTGCCACTTCTGGATTTTAAACTAGAATGCATTTACAATATGATGATATAAGTGAAAAATATGTTATAAGTAGTTGAATTTTGGCAAAAAAATTCAGTTTGGTGGTCATTTTTTTTTAATTCACCCAAATGTGCTATGAAAACATCAATTCTGACTTTGTTGAGGAGAATTATTAGTTAAGTACAATAATTTATTTCAGATACCTGTATTTTATTGAAGTAGTATCCAGCTTGCCATGGCACTATGGTATATGTAGAAATTCCTATTATAGGTTTGTCAGTGGGGTTTTTGGCAGTGTAAAATGCCAGAGCAGTCTCTCCAACACGTACCTGTGATATTGTGATGCACATACTTAATGTGAGAGCATGATTTTACAAAGAACATAGTTACATGTATTTACTAAGCATCATTTTTTTTTCTTGCAAATATATGTAATGCAATTCTTTTAAAAATGCGAAGATAATTTTCATAATCTTTAGGAGAAAGATTGACACTAATATGACTTACCTGTATCTCCTTCTGTTGAGGTTTAAACTGCCACTGCATCTGAGCAGATCGATCAGCATTAAATTTGACTGTGATCACCTTGTCCTGTGGTTTCATAGCCTCCACCTTTTCATTGCTCAACTGGACAGCCTTACCTCCTCTTCCAGTTTTCTGTATTAAAAACCGACATGAACATCAGGCACATTAGAAGAAAGTAATGTGCTGTCATTATCTGTTTGCTCATATGAATTTAGACCCTCAGGTAAGTGTCTTTTAGGAATGCTAGACTGTTACATTCTTCAACTTTCTTTTTTCTATTCAGAAATTAACTTTTTTTTTTCATTTAAATACATTTTCTTGACGTGCTTGGAACAGTAAATTTTCTGCCAATCAAAAGAATCAATTCTTTTAAAAAAAGAAAGCAATTTAAGAATAAGTTATATAATCACTATTTATGAATGTGGTACAATGTATTATCAAAACCTTTCAATAAATTTTTTAGAAACTATTTCTTTTTTCTTTAAAATAGTTTGCTTTATTCCAATATTCTCAACATTTAAATCCATAAGTAGGTCAAATCTAATCATAGTGGACTTGCAGATCTTGCTTTTCTCTTTTTCTCCTAAATTCTTTTTTTTCCCTTGTAATACATGTACATATATACAGCTGAACTTCGGTATCTCATTGATATCTTGAATACCTTGGATATATTTTAGTCATTTGGTCCAAACCACTTTTTGTCTATAAATTTTACCCTCATTATCTCAAACCTATGGATATCTCAAAGTGTTTCCTTGGTCCCATCAGGTTTGAGATAACAACATTTGACTGTAAAATCTACCTAAAAACATAATTATAGTTGACATACAATGTACAATACCAATCTATGGATAAATTTTTGAACTTACCTGACAGAAGACCCTGTATAAGGGGACAGATAATATAGTTGCTCCAGTCATAACAACTGCCACTGCTAGAGAATAACGCAGTCTATCTGCTGCGCCAGAATCAGACTTTGAAGACTGAAATCTTACACAGTTTGTTAAAAAACGAAGTTTTTGTCTTGGTTTATTTAATGTTATGCTGAAATTACTATTTAAATTATGGAATTTTCTTGGAAAAGATTGAAAGTAGGATGGTCCAGATATTCTAGACAAACAGTTCAAGCAACTGGGAAAGTTTTTTGTCGAGTTGTTCACCACTGTTTTAAATAATATGCTTCCTATGTATGGAACCATCCTGTTAAAAAAAGAAAAACAGAAAATTAAACTTAAATGAGCTAAAATTAAACTTGGTAGTGATTAGGCTCCGGGGCCATAAAACTTAGACAAGCTCACTTTTGATCTCAGTCTCACTCTTACAAAAAGGAATATATATACATGTACACTGTAGTGGAAAAGTAAGACTGAGATCAAGAAGTGACCTCATCTAAGTTTTATGGCCATGGAGCCAGAATGTAATGAATTATAATTCATTCAGAAAAATTCATCAAATTCAATAAAACAAGACATGTTTGTGAAACACTTATGCCCCCCCCCCCCCCCCCAAATAATTGGAATTTTTCTAACTCCAAGGTTCATAACTCTGTCAAAAATTGCTCCATCTTACCCAAAACAGAACTTGACCTAGATATTCTTATGATAAATCTGTCTACTACATTTCATTTCAGTATGTGCAACCTCTGCGAAGAAAATGAACGGAAACTGCAAATAATTCTAATTTTTCTAAGTCCAAGGGGCATAACTCTGTCAAAAATTGCTCCATCATACCCAAAACAAAACTTGACCTAGATATTCTTATGATAAATCTGTCTACCACATTTCATTTCAGTATGTGCAACCTCTGCGAAGAAAATGAACGGAAACTGCAAATAATTGGAATTTTTCTAAGTCCAAGGGGCATAACTCTGTCAAAAATTGCTCCATCGTACCCAAAACAGAACTGACCTAGATATTCTTATGATAAATCTGTCTACCACATTTCATTTCAGTATGTGCAACCTCTGTGAAGAAAATGAACGGAAACTGCAAATAATTGGAATTTTTTTAAGTCCAAGGGGCATAACACTGTCAAAAATTGCTCCATTGTACCCAAAACAGAACTTGGCCTAGATATTTTTGTGATAAATCTGTATACCAAAGTTCATTTCAGTATGTGCAACCTCTGTGAAGAAAATGAATGGAAATGGACAGACAGACAGACCAACCGACAGACTAATACATTTTCATTCGGACTAATAAAATATGTGGCTAATTAGTCCGAACGGACCAATAAAAATTTCTGAAAAACAATATGAATAAATTACCGATGTCCGATTCACGACAACTTTTAGTGGAAAATCCCACGTGTATTTTTAGATTTCTAGCTTTTGGCGGGTAGTTATGCAATGCGGGTCAATTCAGCACTTAATTTTTCGACTGATCGATATGAAGTATAAGGTTTTAGCAATCATGATTTAGTATGACACTTTTAAGAAAGATGTTGGACGTTTTGGATGGTATGTAATGTAAACATTGATGTTTCTTTTTTTTTTTGAGACGGACTAATAAAATCGCGTGCGGACTAGTAAAAGTAATGAAGCACTAGTCCGGCTGGACTAAAGCCTTAAAAAGTTAGTGTCGAACCCTGAGCAAAGCAATATGCCCTGCCTTCTTCGAAGGATGGCATAATCATTGTAAATAATGAAAAATCACTGACTAACATATTCAATATAAAAGAGGGCAAATGGTCTTTTGAGCGATCAGACTCTGGGAAAATGATAATTATAGGGTGAACGGTATCAAGGGCAAATGTATTTTAGGGTGTACAAACATAGTTACATTTCAAGTTTTTATTTTCTTCAAGTAATTCAAGGTACTGTCCTCTCCCATCTTCTTATTTCCCCTCCATCCACACCAGGTTCAACTTGCAGATTAATGACAGATTAATGTTAGGGCTGGGTATCGGCTGACGATTTCGAATTGTGATATACTGCGATATTGTTTACTGTATTGCGATATGTATTGCAAATATTTTCAGTAACATTTAAGATTATCTTTTCTTATTTTATTAACTTCCAATTATAAGCAGAATGTATATGATAAGTATCTTGTAAAAAAAAAATCTTGCTGATTTCACTACAGTTTTTCTCTGGAATTCAAGCATACAAAGGCCGCAAGCTTACCGTTTGGCATGATTAAAAACATTTCTGACATCTTAAATTTCATATTTTGCTATTAAAATCCCAAGCCCAACCATTTTGCCAGTATATCGGTACTGAAAAAACATCACAATACGATATTTTTTGTCAACAAACCGCAATATATCAGTCCTTATTAATGTACACTAAATACCTGATTTGGTAAGGTTTATATTATATAGGCCTATTCAAAAAAGTTAAATAATTACGTATAAACTGCTACAATATTTCTTTACATAATTTTAGAAGCTCCAGTTGTATAACTATAACAATCACCTTGATGGATTTTCTTTATAACATTATTCATATGCTTTCTAAATTCTTCCCCTTAAATGACCTATGTGTAGATGGAAATTTTCACTAATAAATCTGGAAAGGCTTCAGTTATCAGAAATCCCCCCCCCCCTTTCTCTGTACAATATTGTAGGGCACAACTGAACTATTCCGAATTTCCTCAAATTGTTTGCCTAAATCGCTGAACCTGCATGCAATATCACTCTCTAAGTATTTGGGTTTACAATACAATTAGATACTCACCTCGAAGAATATTCGCGTGAAAAAATTAAATGAAAAATTTTTATAGATCCATAATGATTACAAAAAATAGATATTATGCAAGCACGAAAAACATTCGACAGCCAAACCGGAAATACAACATGTGAAACTAAAGGCCGAGGCTATCCGCACGACGGTCGTGCTAATTACCGGTGTTATCCGCACGACGGTCGTGCCGATTACGGAGGCTATTCGCACGACAAACTTTGAAACAATTTTATAATTTTTTTTTGTTTATAACTTTATACTATTTATATTTGCATATACTTTATTTATAATTTTTTTTTGTTTATAACTGTGACTTTTTTTTGGGGGGGGGGGGTCCGGACAGTAGCTCTAAGAAACAGTCCTTAAGAAGTGACTATATTCACAACGTCCCTGTGACACAAAATATTGTGGATCCTGTGTTTAAGTTAGGAACTATAGATCTTTATAGATCTAATAACAAAACAACAAGCAGCAGAGTTTTGATTCAACGAGTATAATAATATCCAAACGCAGTTTACAAATACAAATACAAATATTTTATTGGCACAAACACAATTACAGTAATTGGTAAAGGCCCATACAGAACATATTAATAAGCATAATAATACAGTAGAACACAACTAGAATACAGACAATCGGTGTAGCAAATAATGTAGTGTACTCATCCGATACTAAATAATTCATAACAATGTAGTTACTCATTTATAGCTAAAACATTTTTTCTAATATCAGATATTTGACATAAAAATGAAGATAATATTTTAAGAACCCTTTTACACCTTGTTTTCATCAATGATTTTAACAAATTGTCATTATTATGGATTGTTTGGTTGAAATTAGGGAAAGTAGATAATTTTGTTTTGAATACTTTTCTCTGTGCTTCATATTTCGGACAGAGCAAAATGAAATGTTTTTCATCCTCAATATCAAGGTTTTGACAAACTTTACACAACCTATCATTTTTATTAATTTCAACATATCTACCTTTTTCAATTTCTAAATTATGTGCACTTAACCTAATTTTTGCTACAAAAGATCTATCATGCAGTGACTCTAGTTTGTCAACATAATGTGCACGTTTATTATTAAAACAGAAGTTTCGATAAAATGATAGTTTTGAGGAGTTCATAATACTTGCATTTTGTTCTTGTAATATTTGATCATGAATACGTTGCTTAACAATGCCAAGAACTGGTTTCAATGACATATTAAAATTTGTTAAATAAGAAAACCCTAAGTTATTAAGACAAGTCCTTAAACACATAGACCATGTGTTATTTTCTTTAGTTTTGATAAAAATATCATGTGCCAACGTATGTTCAAATGAAATTAAATGATCAAGGTATTTGATAGCAAACATAATAATTTTTGATCTGACTGGGAGTCTCCCGAGACTGGGAGTCTCCCGAGTTCAGAATAGCAAACATTATTTGAAGTTTTGCAATGAACTCCTAAGATTTCATTAAAAATTTAATATGAAACTTTTCATAAGATGCCGAGCCTGAATATTTTATGACTGACTCAATACCCCAAACTTCGCTTCCGTATAGCAAAATGGGAATTACCATGGTATCAAACAATTTTTCAAGTACATATCAAGTATACAAGCTATCTGTGTGTTCACTCACTCTCTCTCTCGATCCTTATATATACTCTGTCTGACACCTAACGTCACTAGGGCACCCATTAGGGCAATAGGCTCCATAGTTAGGGCACCTGTTAGGGCATTAGGCTCCATGATTAGGGCACCCGTTAGGGCATTAGGCTCCAAGTATAGGGCCGCTGCACCATTGTTAGATGTCAAGACACCTTATACATTTAGAACATCTGTTAGGCGCCATAATTAGGGCGCTAATTAGGCTCCAAGATTAGGGCACTAATCAGGCTCCATGGTTAGGGCCTTTCACACAGCAAAAATTCAATTTATCGATCTTTTATTTATAACAATAAAATATTTACATATATATTTGCATATACTTTATTTATAAAAATAAAATTTTACTCGGTGTTTTGCTGTTGTGTGTAGAAACTCAAAGCGAATTTAACATATTAGACGGACACAAAAAGTGAACTTATCCCTAACTCTTCAGAAATTCCTAGTTCATTCAAGTGCTAGAGTGTTTGCCGCGGCATAATTAAGATTACGATTTTTCAAAAAGAAAACAACGGCCTTTTTTCGAAATACAACACTCAAATTTCATATTAGAAAAAAAGCTTCTGGACAGTCCGACACTCATGGTTAATTTGCCCCATTTTGTGCAAGTGGTGCCGGGTTTTCTTCCTTTAAAATCCTCTGGAATGTGTATGGGGTGGAATGGGTTGATTTTAGATAGAAAAAAATATCTGGAATTTTTTTTTAAATTACAGTCTTGGAATCTTTGCTTTTAGGAAGGGTATGAGAAAAGATTTTTTTATCTGCTTCTCAAATTTTAAGGGAATTTGAAATACGTGCAATTTAGGGGTTATTTGAAGTGTCACAGCATGGCTTGTACACTACGAATTTTCCTGATTTTCCAGGTGAGTTGAGGCAGTGAAATTCTTTAAATTAATTTTTTTGTTATAAAGGAGTACATTATAGCAAAATAATTGGTAGTCTGTGTCCTATGATACACATGTGCGGATCGTGAATTATTATATCGGAATCAAGATCACAGTATTCCAATAAAGTAGACTATAGATGTAAATCTATCCCATGCTTTTTTTAAATATTTATATTTACTACTCTGAAATTAAAATCAATCTTTTCTTTTATGGACATGGATTATATCGTATCATATTAATTTTAAAGAATTTTTGAATGAATTTAAATGTTCCTGTATATTTGAAAAACTACAAACAAGTTTGATCAACGTACTTAAATGAGAAAATGTTTAGATGAAACTATATATGTTCACTATCAAAATATATAATAATGCATAAATCTTTAAAAAATCCTCTATGAATATATTAGAAATTAATTGATTTACTGTTTAACATAAAATTTATTTTAAAATAAAATAAATAGGGGAAATACAACAGAATATTTTAATCATTTTATAAAAGCTATGTGAAGAAATGTAAACGTTATTTTTTTCCACGGGGTCACAATTCCATGGAATCGCAAACTCTGTTCAATTCGCGGATATAATTTATCTGAATTTTTGATTGCCTTTGAGAGATTATTAAGACCATCCAGAAAAATGGAAAATTATGGAAAGAGAATATAAACACCATAAAAAAGAAAATTATTGAAAATAGATAGCTATATTTTTTTTTTTAAATTTCCAATCAACGTCTGAAGTACGTTACATGTACTCAAGAGATGATATAAAGGACGAATAAAAAATTAACTCTTATTATACTGTGTCACGACGATTCACGAAGAAAATTCACCGTAAGCAAATTTTACTTAACCGAATGTTATAATTAGTTCTACAGTGCATCTCTTTTACTTTGTATTAAATTTTTTGGTGAAAAGTGTATATAATGTACTATAGGGTTATCTCTCTTGTGTCGTGCGGATAAGAACTGTAATTAGCACGACCGTCGTGCGAATAACGAAAATAATCGGCACGACCGTCGTGCCGATAGACACTTCCGAAACTAAATGCCAAATCCAAATTTCAAATTCAATTTCACAAATAATAATTTTTTGTAAAATCATTTTATGAATAACGGTAAACTAAAGATATTCAAATTTTTATAAACATTTTGCACGAAATAAGTTTCTTTACAATACTTTCAAATGATTTTTTGTGGGTATTTATTTATTAATAGTAAATGATATCCGGATACATTTCATTCAAGATGGCAGCCTCCATATGCCACATTTTCCGACATCGGTGAAGTCTCCAGATTTTTTTAATGTTGTTCTTCCTATTTTATGAAGAACCTTAAGCTGAAAAGATACAATGGGTATTCTCGAGAAAATAGCTGAAATTGAGAGGGAAATTTCCCGAACCCAGAAAAATAAAGGTTTGTGTTTACATTTGTTTGTGTTTACCTGTCAGCATGCCTTATATATAGGATTTTTGATGCCTAGTGAATTCCTTAAGCCCCCCAAAAAAATCTTGGCAACTTGTCCAACTTGTAGAAAGACGAAATACATACTGCTTATTTATAAATACAACCAATTGATTCTGAAAGGGGGGGGGGGGGGTAAGCTGGCAGATTTTGGAAATGTCTGCCCTCCACTTGAAAGAAATTATATAACCTTATAACCTTAACTTGATTGATAATATCTATCCTTTATCCCTCCGGGAAAAAATAAAATGAATTATCAGACAGAGTTTAAAGTCAATTTAACTATATAGTGGGGTTATTCAAGTTCAAAACGGTGAAAATTTTAATTTGAACGTAATTAACAAATATCATGTTCATCTACACTCAATCTCGTATTTTTATTTTTTAGCTCAGATACACCATATATAGCTTTAAAAAATGTTTTATCTTAAAATTGGTCTTCACAGTATTAAATGTTAACAATACTGAAATCAATTATAAATTATGTTCTATATACTAAGTTTATTTTATTGTACATCTAAGGACAGATCACTAATTGCAAAAAAGTTCCATGGGATTAAAATTCTTTATTGAACAATGTTTATAAGAACTTTTTTATTAAAGAAGTAAACTAGTCTCCTTTGTCCTCATTACATTAGTAATTTGATTCAATTTTTATAGCTACCGAGTACCATCTTGGATTGCTAAAAGCAAAACTTGCCAAGTACAGACAGCAGTTGTTGGAGCCAGGGGGGAAATCAGCATCCAAGGTGGGGGGTTTTAAGTTTAACAGTTTTAAAAGGCATTGATTTCAGTGTAAAGAAATATTTTTGTATATCATGTATATAAATTATATATTTATATATTTACATGCTATAAATACATTGAGAAAATTAAGTAATAGGGTTATTATCTATACTTATAGGTTTGGTGATAAATTAAGGAAGTTAAGGGAAAATATGATTATTTTTTGGTTCATTTATTTATTGCATAATACACCCATATATTATCATTATGAAATTGACTGCCCGAATGTGATTATTGATGACCCTGAATGACTTATGTTTTTGTTTTTGTTTGTCTCCAGGGTGAGGGTTTTGATGTGATGAAATCTGGAGATGCCAGGGTAGCTCTAATTGGATTCCCATCAGTAGGCAAGGTGTGAATACATGGTTTTATTACATTTTCAACAGTGAAATACTGTGATTTATTTACTGAATAAAAGTGATATTCTCTCACAGTGTGAAAGCATACCAAAGTGATATTCTCTCACACTGTGAAAGATATCAAAGTAAGTAAAAAAATTTTGGCCTGTCATAAGACATAGATAGTAACTAAACTGTCTTGATAGAGACTAAAACTGCCAATTTCTTCCCAAATAAGTTGCTAAAATCCAATTGTTACAATTTTTTTTATCTCACAACTGCTAATCTATATGATTACCACTCAATTATGACATCACAGCATATGACACTATTAAGAAAAGACAGAATCAAAGGGAAGATCAAAGAAAATGTAATAAACAGAAAATTCAATGTTTTGTTGTTGGATATGGAATTTATCTCAATAGTGAGACAGGATTTTTTTTTTAAATATTCACTTGTGCTTTGCACTCGTGAAAATATCAAAAAATCTTTTCCCAGCTCTTCTCTCTATTATCCAAAGCAGTTCTGAAAGGCGGTAAATTTACAATATTAAAAGACAAATGAAAATTTACATTTATAAAGAGAGAAAATTAGAGAATGTAAATATACACTGACTTATTATTTTTGGATGTTGTCTGACATATAAATTATTATACTGCGCTAATGCCCAGTATTCAATTTGTCCACATGGCCAGGATCTGTTAGACGACCAATGACATCCAAATATAATAATTCAATGCTTAATTACATGTAGATTATTAATCTGTAAGCTGGTCATTAGTATCAGTTATACACATATGAAATTATGTAACCCTTTGTAAATTTTACAGTCCACATTACTGAGTACTCTGACGAAAACAAAAAGTGAATGTGCTGCATATGAGTTCACAACTTTGACGTGCATTCCTGGTGTTATTGAGGTGAGTTTACAATCTTGACATACATTCCTGGTGTTACATGTATTGTGTTTAGTTTACAATTTTGTAATGTATTAATTGTTAATGTTAATCAGGAAACAGCACTGAATGCATTTCTGGTGTTTATATTGAGGCTAGACTAGTTAGTTTACAATATTTACAAATAATTTAATTCAGGTTATAACCCGTTATTTGATTGGATAAAATAATTTACTTTATACATCAGAATGACTTGCATAAAAAACCTATCTTGTACAATTTGAAGTCATTTTTTAAGAGGGCTGGGTGGTCGTGGCCATTTTTAGACTATATTGATCTCCTTTAGAAGAAGAGCTCCATATAAAGATATACAAAAATGATCAAATTTTAAAACTAAAATGTATGAATTTTTTCTTTGCCAAATGATAGTTGACAGCTTAATTTAAGATATCATATCTAAAAAAATAAGTTATATCTGATGGTTAATTTTTTGACCCCCCCCCCAGCCTCCTTAAGGGCAATCATCTTTTTTCTTACACTAAATGAATGAAAATTAAATTACAAGGAATGAAATTAATAGCTACCCAATTTATATGGTATAAAGTGGGTTGGAACAGTTTACACTTTTTTATAAACTGCTTTGCAGTTTATAAAGTGTATACTGGCCCATTCCCACTTTATACCGTATAATTGAGTAGCTATTAAATTCATTTCTTGAAATAGTTTTAATTTCTTAAATATTGATTTGTATTTCTAATGTTGTTACTGAGGTAGCTAGTTTACATCATTAATAAACATTATTGGTGTTACCGAGGTGACTTTTACCACCTTGACATGCCCACCTGTCATTAAATTAAGATGAGCTCGAGTTTAGTACATTTGCCTCGTTGGATCTTTCACTGATCATCCGAGATCAGCTGTGGGTATCCGATGATACATGTACAACTTTATCTGCATATTATGTTTATACTGATGTGAGCTCATAATAATGATATGCATTTCCTATACCAAAAATATGAGCTGATAATATTGATCTGCATTCCTTATTTAATGAGGTAAATTCTCAACTTTAAAGCCTCAGACCAATTATAGCTACAATCTTTGGACACACTACTGAACACATCAGCTTTTATCTGATAAATACTTTAAAAATACCTGTACACTATAAGCACATGCTGACATTTAGTGGAAATGTTTCAGTGTAAAGAGCCATTAATACTTTTTTTTTCAGTATAATGGTGCCAAAATTCAACTTCTTGATTTACCGGGAATCATAGAAGGAGCTGCTCAAGGTAAAATCAAAATGGAGTATTATTATTAATACATTACTATAAAGAACTGCTAGCTTGAAGTCAGAGAATCATTTTATTTTAATTTCCTCCTGATTCATGTGTCTAAAGTGAAACATAGTGATAAATGAGTACATTGATTAATTATTCAGGAATGTTCTATCTTTGATTCATCTATAAAAAAAAATGTCTACAACATTCAGTTTACATCCAGTAATTTTCTGTAAAGGAGAAAGAGTTTCATGAAAAATTATTTTGGTATGGTAATTAAAGTTATATATGAATATAATTTATTTATTTTCAGGAAAGGGGAGAGGTCGGCAGGTCATTGCTGTGGCGAGGACAGCAGATGTGGTGGTCATGATGCTGGATGCCACAAAGAGTAAAATTCAAAAGTAAAGCTGACATTTATGTAAACTATTTAAAAAACCCAACAGCATACTAGTACTAGTTCCAAAGAAAATATCTCAAGGAAAACAAGAGTATTTATTGATTATGATCACAGCTTTGGGACACTTTGTTTTAATGACCTGGTCACATAATTTAAGAATTTCAACATCAAAATCAGTCCTTTGCTCAATGTCTCATAAACACAAGCAAAGTTTGAATTTGATAACTTTGTGCCTGAGAAAAAAGCAATCTAAAAAATGATGAAGTGGTTGATGAGAATCAATTATCTTCAGATTTTTATTAGGGGGGGGGGGGACAGATAACACAGATTGTTGGTATAAATCTGTATGTTAGGCTGTACAAAAATAAGTATGATAAATATTTTTCACATTGTGCACTTTTTGTGTGAGTTTGTTAATGTTTGAATAATCACTCTGGTTCTCTCTAAAGTGATATACATGTATCTGTATTCATATACTAATATGTAATATAAACTTTGATTTCAGAGAATTGCTGACAGCAGAATTAGAGAGTGTTGGTATAAGATTGAATAAAAGAAAACCTAACATTTACTTCAAGGTAAGATACATGTATATTTAAAAATGTTTTATGGTTAATTTATTATTGAAGTAGAAATACATGTAGTAGCCAACTATACTCTTATCTGTTTCAAAATGGTGTAGCTAAAATAAACACATTTACATATTCAATGATGTGACCTCTTATATTTCATTAATGACATTAATTTTATAAATATCATTAAGTAAAAACATATAGTATAAATTATATTTGTATGTTTTCTATGCTGTAAATTTTAAAAGTTCATCTTTCAGAACAAAATGTTGTCATTCCCCTTATTTTCTTTCAGCAAAAGAAAGGTGGAGGCATATCGTTTAACTCCACTCTACCCCTGACAAAGGTTAATGAAAAACTTGTACAGATGATCCTTCATGAATGGAGTATCCTTAATGTAAAAGACTCATAGACTTGAAAAATGCTATTAACATGGAACTCTTAAAATTCACATATCTTTAAACTATGGTTCCCCTATGAATGTTTTTTTTTTTAATCAAAAAGTTTTGCTGAAGCATGTATATATGGTAGATAACTCAAACTTTTATGAAGCATAAGTTTGACAGGCCTTAGTAAATATTACATATTTTAACAAAATTTTATTGTGTGTAATGTATGAAAACAGATTGTATGGTTGACATTGCATATTTCCGTTGAGTTTAAATTCCAACATGTACTGTAAGATGAATTTTGATGGTACTTTTTTTTGTCATCATGATTTAAATTTCAATAGCCATACATACCTACATAACAACACTTCAGAAAATACCAGAACTCTACCTGTTACAATCAGATTTGTTTGATCCTTAGCCAGTCACAGAGATCTTTAATGCCGAGGTTTTATTCCGAGAAGACTGTACATCAGATGAATTTGTTGATGTTATACTTGGAAACCGAGTCTACATGCCCTGTTTATATGTGAGTATGGAAGAAAGAAATGATATTTGATTTATAGAGCCATTTACTTAAGGAATAACTGTCTAATTTTTTGGATTCATGATGTGATCAATCGAGTGGCTTGCGTGATAATTTGCATAAACGCCAAAGGCGTTTATGCATGAAATTATCACGCAAGCCAATCGATTGATCATCGTCATGAATCCAAAAAATCTGACAGTTATTCCTTATATTTACATGCTCCTGATTCTGCAAATTCCCGTGCTAATAGCCCCGCTTCTGTCTCTATTTGTCCCGCCCCGCACGTGATTTTTTTTTAACCGCGCCTATCGATGAACCAGTAGATTTATGTAGAAATAAAGCATTTTTACAATTTGTAATTTCATCTCGGACAAAGACATTGGGAATGTAAATATTAATGGCTCAAAGTACCTGTCTATTTATAAGTGAATAAACTACAGGAATGTTGCCAATAATCAGACACTTTCTGGATTTAGTTCTATTCCAAAATTTTCCACCAGAAGTGTGCTCAATTTCCAATTAAATATTGTATATACATGTACACGAATACATACATTGTATAGACATGGAACACATTGTATATAAATGCATATGACTACATGTACATGTAAATAAGTGTTTTCTCTTTTGTAGGTCTATAACAAAATTGACCAAATCTCAATAGAAGAAGTGGACAGGCTTGCTAGAGAATCTAGTTCTGTGGTAGTCAGGTAACTTTGTAACTCAATAATGAGTAGGTACAGATGTATTAGCAATGGTAAATGTTGATGTGAATGTCATTTTAATGATTTTCCATTTCAATAATGATGTCTTCTTTTCATTTTAAATTTCCATATTGCATCCCATCCCAGTGTATAAATAGGGCAATTTTTAAGGTTGGATACTCTGCAGAATGTATGGTTTAAAATTCTTGACTTGTGACTGATTTCAGTTGTAATATGAGGTTGAACTTGGACTACCTAGTGGAGATGATCTGGGAATACCTGGCTCTGGTTCGTGTCTACACAAAGAAAAGAGGAGGTAACTCTGGATATGATGCTGCTGTTACAGAGTACAGAAAATTTTAACAGAGAACATCAAAGGAGAAGAAATTATTAATGATATGAAAATAAATAGTTATTTTACTTGAATTTAATGGATGAATCAAAACTCTCATTACTTTTGAAATAAACAATGGACTTTCAGAATTCAGAAAGACCAGTGTCTTGAAATATACCTACATGTATGGTACCTTAATTTAATTCAGTAAATTAATATTAAATTTATTCATTTCATTGGACTTTGTTCTAATAATTACAGAGAGGCCTGATTTTGATGGAGGATTGATTTTAAGAAAAGGATGTACAGCAGAACATGTGGTGAGTGATTGCAGCCCTGTCCCCCAAATAAAAATCTAACCAATCAACCTTAAAAACCTTTTATCTGGTTGTGCCTAATTCCCTAGTCATAATAATTCCTTCTTTAACCAAACTTTTCATTGATGGTGCATTTAAGTATGTAATCCAGAATATGAGGGAGTTGAATGGCTTTGTCAGTTTGGTAGAATTTATAGATAAGTTCTGGAACAGCAATGATAAGAGGAATTGTAGATGTAGGGCACAGTGAGCTAGCCCAGGCTCAGAGCTACCAGGAACCTTCCTAGCAACAACGGTTTCAACAGGCATGAGCCTATCAGTTTGAACTCGAACAGTTCATTGAGTGCACTCAAACATAGCTTAAAGGATAAATAAGTTATGGCCAAACAGAATTTTGCCAGAGATTTTGAGGTTAAAAAAACTGTTTAACCCATACAGGCTTTCTTGCATGTACACATACAAATGACTCTAAGATCAAAGTTCAAGGACATATGATAGTCATCATGATTCACAATCTTATGTCATGATGATACACTCAAGTGCCAAATGTTGTAAGTCTAGGTTAAAAGATACTGTAAGTCATTTTAATTCCACGGTGTAAAAATTTCACGATTTCTCAAAAAGTACCAATCATGATGGTTTTAATTTCATGCTGCAAGAAATTATTTTTAATTTCTTATAAGCATTTAAACATTTTTAAAAACTAAGGATAGCATTCACTATGGGTTTAATTTAGCGGGAAAATGATGAATTGCGAACATAGTGAAATTAAAAACATAGTGATTATTTGCCAATGTACAGTAAACAAAAATATGGCCCAGACAGCACAAAGATAGAGAATTATGTTCAGAGTAAAACTGTCTTCATTCATTGAAAGGAGGACTTGATACATTGTAATGTAGATTTACAGAAGATAATAATCTCTTTCCTCTTCTTTTTTCAGTGTCATGCTATTCATAGAACTATGGTGGACACCTTCAAATATGGATTAGTTTGGGTAAGGTCACTTCTACTGAAGACCTTATTGTCATTTGGTATACTGTATACAGGGTTATTTTCACCCTTTCACACTTGCAAACAATTTTGCTCTGTCTTAAATTCGCCCGGTCACAGTTCTGTTTAAGAAATTATACTGTATTCTTTGAATTCGCCCCATTTCAAATTCGCCCAACGGAGGGTAGGGCGAAATAAGCGGAAATAAAACGGGGGCAAAAATTTCCCGTGTAAGGTTTCATGATACCCTATATATACTTGAAATCATTAAGTTACTTTTTTGTATATTGACAAATTTAAATTATAATGAAATTAAAATTCAAAATTTGTTCTATTTTTACAGGGAACCAGTGTAAAATACAGTCCTCAAAGGATCGGACTTCAGCACCTGATGAACCATGATGATGTCATACAAATCATCAAAAAATAATCCCTGTACAATAGACAGAAAATATACAATATCATTTGGATATTCATTGTGATTCATTTTGAAAATTGTGCAATCATGCATGTTATATGAATTGTTTGAAAATAAAAACTCTTCACAGCAATTTGAGGCTTATAACTAAAGTGTACAGAATTCATACATCTTTAGCTCACCTGAATGAAGTTGGGGGTGTAATACCTTAGACATCAGTGAGTGTGAGCATTGATGTCCAAGATTAAAGTCTTTGGAGGTAAATTCTATCTGAGTATTTCTATATGCCTTATATTGATCAGATTTGCTGGGAAGATGCATCTATACCAGTCAGATTTCAGATGTTCCATATTTAACCAACGTTTTTCATAAAAATGACCAGGTTAATGATTTTCTATCAAATTTTTGGAGAGCGCTGGGTTTCAGTATTTGGAGCAGGTCTCATTCCCAAGTATCTATAAGGCCTACCTGAACCAAACTTGCATGGATGAATCATCTAGGGATGCACACTAACAAGACTTGCTGCAGATGCTCTATCTGACCTACATTTTTCAGATGAGTGACCAGGTTAAAGTTTTTGTGCAGGTTATTCTAAAGTAACTATACCCCTATGGTGACCAAATTTGCATGGATGATGCATTTAAGGATTCACACTACCAGACAGGCTTCAGATTCTGTATCTGACATTTATAGTCCATGTATGTCTCATATCCTTATACATATCTTGTATGTCTCATGTATGTATATCATACAAGTTAATATAATGTTTTTAAAGCAAGTCTATTCCCAAGTAACTATAACAACAGTATGGTGATTAAATTTGCATGCCACAATGCATCTTGGGATGCACAATACCAGGCTTGATTTAATGCTGTGCTGGATCAGACATATATTTCCAGATGAGTGAACAGTAGGTTAAAGTGTTAGGTGCAGGTCTATTCCCAAGTACTATACATGTAAGTCCTACCTGGACAAATTTTGGTGATTTATCATTACCTATAGGGATGAAAGCTTCAAGATGTACTTGCTTCAGATTCTAGATCTGACCTACATTTTCCAGATGATCAAAGTTACACATCTTTAGATATTATGCAGTACCAGACTTGCTCCAGATGCTGATTCGATTTTACTTGCATTCATTTATCAGAGTTATTATAAATACAAAAAGATTTTAGAGCAAATCCATATTCCAATTGTAAGAAAAATCCCACCCAGACCAAACTTGCATATAATTATATGTTGTATCAATATTAGGATATATCATGCACCATCACTATCGTAAATATTTGGTTGGTGCATGTGAGATATATTACTTTAAATATAACATTCGTTGAGGTGAACTAAGTAATGTTTGATAATTTAACTATGTTTTTACTTAAATTTGAACTCAATAAAAAATCTGGTTAAGGTGCATCAGTGTAAGTGAGTGAGTGAATCAAATTTGCAATTGAACACAAGAACAATTATATATAAACAAGCAGGCTTAACAAAACAGGGACAATGTGGAAAGTATATAATGCTTAAAATGGTACAAAATCATCCAATATACTATGGTTCAAATATTCAATGATGCCAATTTTACAGTTGAGACACCTAAATTTCTTTTTACCATATCCTGATTTTTAAATACTGTTTATACCAATAATAATACAAATATAAAATAAATACTCAAAAAAAATCTTCAATTCTTTAAAATATATTTATTAAAATAATACTAATAATAATCGAAGAAGGAAATATATTACAAGCAGCTTTACATGTGCACTAAACTATCTTTTAGGGTAAATAGTCATCTCTCAGTAATGGAACTCTTTGGTATGAGAAGGTGAATTTACACATAGACGGTGAAAATTGAGCAGACGGGTGGTATTAGCTTTTTTGTGAAATGAATACAGACCCCTTGGCAGTTGTCCTCATCACCTCAGGAACTCGTGGAGACAGACTACTTTTCCGCTATCCAAACTCCGAGCCAGTCAACCGTGGCGTGCTTGCAAAATGTATATGAATTGAAAAAAAAAAAAATAATTCTAACGCATAAATCATACTTGTTAAAGTAAAGCTCAAGGCTCTGAAAAGTGTTTTTCAGCCCCTTGTCATTCTTTAATTTTTAACTTTCTTATATCTAAAAAAAAAATGGAGATGTTTCCATTCTATAATTTATTTTGCAGTACAGGAATTTTTTTTATTTTTTTTATTTTTTTTTTTTTGATATCCTAGACTTTAAGAAGATGAAAAAAATAATATATAAGAGGAAAAAAAACTTCAGAATGTGATAAATTATTAAAGAGTCATTGATGTCACTTCAACAAAATCATCACTGTCAATCACTCATTCACTTATGCTTTTTTAGAAGTTGATAAGATTAATTGACATAGATTTATAAAAAGTCAGTGATGAAGATGATGCTAAGTGCATTAGTTAGAATAATCTGTGTATTGAGACAATCCTGCCACAGTTAGAATATGTTCCATTTAGTTACACTGAAAATAAGCCTGTTAAATTTATTAGATTTCTTGATAATCAATTAAGGGCTAAATGATAGATGATGTGGAGAAGAGATTTAATTAGCTCCACCTACCGCAATTTGATTGTATGGCTGTTTGTCAAATCCCCTGCGTAATACCTTTTTACCCGTTGTCATCAGTGTTTCACAACCTAGTCTTGTTCATATTAGAATTTGTTTATTTTCAGCTAAAGGAAGCAATCCTTATGCAATAAAAATAACAGAGGATATATTATCAAACAAGTATGTATGCAGCTAAATTAGTGGGTAAAACGTGTAAATTAACTTGTAGTACAAATTTCTTACCACACTATATATAGATTTTTTTTTATGCATAACTGAAAACTATAAAATCCTTTAAAATGTTTGCCCAGTCTGAAGGATGAATGTTTGCAGCATTGATTCCTGTCTGTTCCATTATCTCTGTGATAAAATTATGTTCTGGCAATAGCTGAAGAACCCTTCATTGAGTTCAAACTCATGAATGTATGTTATAATTCATGAGAATGTTATTATAATTCATGACCTAAAGGTGTATCATTACCCTGAATTAAGGTCATCAAAGGTTAAGTCACTGGGCAAAGAGATACATATAGTGAACTAGTTTTTGGACCGTATCTCTTCAACTTAGGATTGGAATGGACTAAAACTTTAGTGCATTGCTGTCTGTGACATTAAGATATGTTACTAGCATGTTTCAAAGTGGTAATTAAAATCAAGACTGGACAGTAAGATAGTTAAATGATATTTAATTGTAATATGATGTAAAGATGTGTGTTGAGTTTAACTCAAAGCCATGATTTTAGAATCAAGGTAATTTAATTTGTCTAGATCATAAAGGAGATAAAGTAGGGAGGGTCTAAACACAAATTGGCTGGAGACACTGATAAATTTGAAGAAAAAAAGGGTGCTCTATATTTGCATATGAATTTATATTTTGAAGAAATTATTTTGAATCAAAGAATAAATCGAGAGGGTTTTTTTTTTAATCTATTTATTTTTCTTTTCAGAGAACCTGCAACCTCTTGTATCAGAGACAATACCTTAGTAGGGTGAGTGGCTCTATACATAATCAGTACTAAATCTATTTGAATATTGTCTGTTCCAAGCATTGCATTTTAACTATTTTAAAAAGTTTTGAATATGTAACAAGCAGAATTTTTCACATTGTATAACATAAATATTTGTATCCATGTATGATTATTTTTCTATTAACAGGTAATTAATGCTTTAATTGTTGCATGTTTAAGACTAAGATACATAATAAATTCACATGAGATCAAGAATCTTGTCATAACTCAACATTGCAGCCCTCCTGCTATTGATGCTATTGTTTTGTTTTTATAAATGCAGGTTTTCTGATTCTATTCTGGCAAATTTGCTTGCTGCTAAACAAGATCTTTGTCGAAAACCTTTTGATTTGAAGATCAATGATGTTAGGTTTGTTGGATTCCCTATGCCCCTGGATAAAAGCAGATCAAAACCAGGAGCCCACCAGATTATTTCATTTAATATCATTTTTGTACTGAGGGTTTGTACTGATTGTTATGAAACACACAAATTTTCTTTTTCTAAAAAATAATATAAATTTTTAATGACAATTTTTCTGCATAGATCTCTGAATCACTTTCAGATTTATTTCTGAAGCAAAAACAATAATTAAAAAAATTATTCTATTAATTGTAAATTTTATGTTTTTGCATTATCTGTAAAGTGTTCCGTTGCATATTTGCTGTTTAGATGATATGAGAGTAAAGTATAACTGTTACTGATAAAACTTTCAGGCTAATGTTACATCCTCTGTGATCCAGTGTTATACCGACCTGGTCAAGCAGATCACAGTAGCCATTCATCATGAGGAGGGACGGTGTCAGTACCTCTCCTCCCAGGCCAAAATCATGCTATCTGTTCATGATGAGGTGGCAGCCATGCCAGAAGGTAGACTACAAACATGGCTATTTGGAGAGCCTGTATTCAATTTTTAGTTTTAAAAAAGGTTTTATTTATAGTTGGTCTGTAAAAAATTTGTATTATATAAGTGTAAGAGATAGTTGTCAAAAATCTTGATTCAGCATGTTTTATGACATGTTTTGTAAATTTTTCAGTTTATAGATTTGATAGTCATTGAGTATTTCACAAGAAATTGTCACCTCTCATTATTTCTCCATAAATGAAAGTACATGTATGTCATTACTCTTCTCTAAATGAAAGCAGACTCCCTAAATACAAAATCTGTATTGAAAAAAAAAGGTGGAAGTCCATTAAGTTGTCAACACAAATCTACATGTATGTTATTTATAAGGTCATCATTAAAAGTATCTTTTTTCCCCAAACCCGACCCTAAAATCTCAAGTTGGGTAGGTAGGTAGGTAAATAATTATTTTTTTTTCTGACAGCAGCTTTGTTAATACATTCTGAAATTTAAGGACCCCTCTGTACACTAGAGGAAAATATTTTTTGGACATTGAGAAAATTATAGTGTGTAAAGGTGTAAGTATTGAGCTTATCTATCACATTTTCAACATAGGATGCCTTACATTTACCCCCAGGAAAAATGTTCAAAGACAATGAAGTACTGATGAACATAAATCACTGTTGTTTACTTAAGTGGCAAAATATCTGCAAATGAAGTGTTCTATCTATTCATCTTGGCCTATTAAAATGTTATTGAATGCTTGTTTTGATCACAAATTAAGTAATAAATTGTACATTTCAATTTATTTTATTCTTGATCAAAGGGCAGATCACTCTATTTGCATAAAAATACCACAAAACCAGAACTCTCTAGTGTGCAGTGTATAGAGGGCTCTTAATTGAATAATGCCTTTATGAATAAAAAAAAGTACAAAAGAAAGGGATTTTTAAACAGAATATCATACAAATGCAATCTCAAAAGTAAATTTTTAGGTATATTATTTCACAGCTATCATTCAATAGAATTTGTGAAATATCTCGAGCCATGTGGTGTAAATCGAATACAGTATTTATGAATAGACAAGATTCTCAGATACTCAATGATTGGATATGCGAGTTCATTTTTCAAACCTACTACCAGCTTTCAGGCCCCAGGATCATGAAACATCTTAGGCTTAAGTCAAAATCATTATGTTATACTAAAATGTTGTAGAAGTCAAACAGAGCAGAATTAAAATATTTTACAATACTGCTTTACTAAAGTGCAAATTTAGAGATTAATTCAATAATTTAAAATAAACAATTTACATACGATTGAAAATTTGACTTAAGTCTAAGTCTGTACGTTTCATAATCCTGGGGCCAGTGCTTGCACAGGCAAAATACTCTCTCAAGGGCTTCACGTGGCTCAGTGGTTCTAGATCATTTTGTTTAGGAGTTACAAATTTAAGTAAGGAGGTAGTTCTAAATCCACAGGTTCAAATCCCAAATGTAGTAGTAGTGGAGACTGGTCCTTCAAATGAGACCGTAAAAACCTAGGTCCAGTGTCGCAGTAGATGCTTTCACAAAAAAGATCCCTTGCTGCTAAATGGCCATAAGTGTCAAGAACAAGTCAAAATTTGGAGCCCTCCATCATGCAGGCAAATAATAAATGTTGTCATCCCAACAATTCTCAAAGGGATTAAAAAGCAAAGAAAGGAATTAACAACGTTTGAATTATATTCATTCGGATGAAATATGCAAACGTATTTACAACCACTCCCGTGGTCCCATATAGTAAACATTGGAACACAGATGAACTGTTTTTTTTTTTAAGATCTGACAAAACTCAAATGAAATAAAATTCAGTGAAATTGATTGATGTGTACAAAAGGTGGGCCCTTCATCTGCTCATGAGGCGGGCCTTACCATGCTTACTTTAAGTTTAAAAGATATGTTTGTAAAATACATGTACCACTTAAACACTCTTAATTATTCAGAATATTTTTATTAAGAAAGATTTCAAGAGTGTAGGATAAACTAGGATTCTAATATAAGGTTGATAAGTCGCCATTATTTTATAAAACGAACTAACCCTCTGTGACCACATGTTGTTGGGCCATTTTGTTTCAAACAAACGCTTGAAAATCATAGCAGATCAAAATCATGCATTTTGATGAAATTGTATTTATTAAGAATGATAAACAATAAAAAACTTTTTGAATAATGTTTTTAAAAAAACTTGTCAGTCGGCGCAATTTAATTGGGTCAGTCGCATTAGGGGAAACAAAGCTATTTTTTATTTTGGCCTAATAGTTTTTAATTTTCTTTCAGATTCTGCAGAATCTCCATATGCAATGATTCTCCCAAGAAGCTCTTTAGCTAAATGCTTGCAAACTATCTTTGAAGAGTAAGTATCTGATTTTTTACTACAGTTGAACTTCGGTATCTCGAACATGGATATCTCGAATACCATGGATATGTCGAAATCATTTTGAAGTCCAATCTGCTTATTCCTTAAGTATTTTACCCTGGATATCTTAAATCTTCGGTTATCTCGAAGTATTTGCTCAGTCCCTTTGAGTTCGAGATAATGAGATTTGACTGTATATTAAATGAGAGATATCAGTATTTATAGTATTTTATGCACTGCAGTGATTTCTTTTATTCGACAGAGATTTTCTTTTTTTTAGTTTAGGCAAAACTGGATTAGTTCACCTGTTCATCAATAAATGGATTGAGATATGGTTTTGTTCACCACACAAAATACATCAGATTCCAGATTCATCAAGCACAATGAGGATAGAGGTACAAAATACATTTCATTTTACTAGAAATGAGGTTATTAATAAGATCATTTAGTAATGATTTGTTGAATGAATCTTGATCCCGATTTCTTAACTTGAATTAAACTTGAACTACAATATATTGATCAAATTTAGAACAATCTGAATTTTAGAGTTTTAAGGCTATTTGATGATGCAGTATTTCTTGAAATTGTAAATTGAGAGTTTTTTTAGCTCACCTGAGCTGAAAGCTCAAGTGAGCTTTTCTGATCACCTATTGTCCGTCGTCGTCCATCTAGCCGTCCCTCTGTCTGTAAATTTTTCATATTTTCAACTTCTTCTCAAGAACTGCTGGGTCAATTTTAACCAAAGTTGGTACAAGCATTCTTGGGTAAAGGGGAGTTTAAATTATAAAATGAAGGACCAAACCCCTTACAAGGAGAGATAATCAAGAAAAGACAAAAATAGGGTGAGGTCATTAAAAAATCTTCTTCTCAAGAACCACTGGGCCAGAAAAGCTGAAACTTACGTGGAAGCATCCTGGGGTAGTGTAGATTCTTAGTTGTTCAAATCATGACCCGGGGGGGGTAGGGCAGTGCAACAATAGGTATTACAAGGGGGAAAATCTGGTGAAGAACAGCAAGGCCAAAGTTACTGAGGTGAGCGTTGTAGCCCATGGACCTCTTGTTTTTTAAAATGACTTTTTATTATGCTTGCAGCCAGAAATAATACAGAAATGCTTGGAATGTCTAAGGTAACAAAGGATTTTCAGACGAAGTATACCGTACATACTGTACTTTAAAAAAAAAACTTAAGCTACTGAGATTTTAGATAATTGATTATTGTTGGTTTTATTCAGAAAACTTCATTTGAGACTTTGTTATATGATATGGTACAGCCTGGTATATCAATTAATTTGAGTATTCAAGAATTCTTAAGTAAAGGTTAGGTATTGAACTTTACAAAGCCTGGTTTAAATGAATTGTCTCAGATTTATCCATTCTTTTTTCCCTGCTTATACATGTACTGGGGTATATGAAAGCTAATGGATTTCAATGATGATTATTACTTGAATTAAATGTGGTAATGTATTTATTTTACAGGCCATATCATGGAGTGTTATTGTTGGTTGAGAAGCAGGCATTACAGGACTCTCTGCCAGTGGACTGTAGTCCAGCACTCAGTAGACTGATTACAGTGTGGAGCCCACTACAGAGTCTACAGGTGCTCTCCCAGGAGGCTGACCTCGCCTTGTCACAGGTAACTATCTATCATAACTGTCTCCAGCCCTCAGTCGACTTATTACAGTGTGGAGCCCACTACAGAGTCTACAGGTGCTCTCCCAGGAGGCTGACCTCACCTTGTTACAGGTAAGTTATCATAACTATCTCCAGCCCTCAGTCGACTGATTACAGTGTAGAGTCCTCTACAGATTTTACAAGTGCTCTCCCAGGAGGCTGACCTCGCCTTGTCACAGGTAAGTTATCATAACTATCTCCAGCCCTCAGGTGCTCTCCCAGGAGGCTGACTTTGCCTTGATATTAGATATTACCTTTGTAATTAATTCATAAGTTATCAAGAAATTTAAAAAAAGTTATTAAGAAATCAAAAGGGGGGCTTAAAAATCTCTCATCAGATTTCTCCTTCAGAAGACTTGCTTATTCTCCTGATTTACCCATGAGTTTTAGTTTAGCTCTACTGGTCAGAGACCAGAAGAGCTTATGCGATAGTAATGTGTCCGTCGTCTGTCCGTCTGTCTGTCTGTCCGTCTGTAAACAATTTTTCAAAATGCTACTCCTCCTACAGTTTTGGTCTGATTTCAATATAACTTGTTACACAAGTAGACTACACTAAGATACATAATTCTGTATATCGGTTTTTGATTTCGATGAACGGTGTTGCCATGGTTACTAAAAATAGAAATTTCTGTGAAAAACATTCAAAATGCTACTCCTCCTACAGTTTTGATCTGATTTCAGTATAACTTGGCACACATGTAGACTATACTAAGATGCATAATTCTGTGTATCGGTTTTTGATTTTGATGAACAGTGTTGCCATGGTTACTAAAAATAGAAATTTCTGTGAAAAACATTCAAAATGCTACTCCTCCTACAGTTTTGATCTGATTTCAGTATAACTTGGCACACAAGTAGACTATACTAAGATGCATAATTCTGTGTATCAGTTTTTGATTTCGATGAACGGTGTTGCCATGGTTACTAAAAATAGTAATTTCTGTGAAAAACATTCAAAATGCTACTCCTCCTACAGTTTTGATCTGATTTCAATATAACTTGGCACACAAGTAGACTATACAGAGATGCATAATTCTGTGTATCGGTTTTTGATTTCGATGAACGGTGTTGCCATGGTTACTAAAAATAGAAATTTCTGTGAAAAACATTCAAAATGCTACTCCTCCTACAGTTTTGATCTGATTTCAATATACCTTGGCACACAAGTAGACTATACTAAGATGCATAATTCTGTGTATCGGTTTTTGATTTTGATGAACGGTGTTGCCATGGTTACTAAAAATAGAAATTTCTGTGAAAAACATTCAAAATGCTACTCCTCCTACAGTTTTGATCTGATTTCAGTATAACTTGGCACACAAGTAGACTATACTAAGATGCATAATTCTGTGTATCAGTTTTTGATTTCGATGAACGGTGTTGCCATGGTTACTAAAAATAGTAATTTCTGTGAAAAACATTCAAAATGCTACTCCTCCTACAGTTTTGATCTGATTTCAATATAACTTGGCACACAAGTAGACTATACAGAGATGCATAATTCTGTGTATCGGTTTTTGATTTCGATGAACGGTGTTGCCATGGTTACTAAAAATAGAAATTTCTGTGAAAAACATTCAAAATGCTACTCCTCCTACAGTTTTGATCTGATTTCAATATACCTTGGCACACAAGTAGACTATACTAAGATGCATAATTCTGTGTATCGGTTTTTGATTTTGATGAACGGTGTTGCCATGGTTACTAAAAATAGAAATTTCTGTGAAATACTTTCAAAATGCTACTCCTCGTACAGTTTTGATCTGATTTCAGTATAACTTGGCACACATGTAGACTATACTAAGATGCATAATTCTGTATATCAGTTTTTGATTTCAATGAACGGTGTTGCCATGGTAACTAAAAATAGAAATTTCTGTGAAATACTTTCAAAATGCTACTCCTCTTACAGTTTTGGTCTGATTTCAATATAACTTGGCAAACAAGTAGACTACACTAAGATACATAATTCTGTATATCGGTTTTTGATTTCGATGAACATTGTTGCCATGGTTACTAAAAATAGAAATTTCCTTGAAATACCTTCAAAATGCTACCCCTACAGTTTTGGTCTGATTTTAGTATTACTTATCATACAAGTAAACTACACTAAGATACATAATTCTCTGTACCAGTTTCGGATTTTGATGAATGGTGTTGCCATGGTTACTAAAAATAGAAATTTTCTTGAAATACTTTCAAAACGCTACTCCTCCTACACTTTTTGTCTGATTTCAGAATAATGTGGCATACAAGTAGACTACAGAGATACATAATTGGTGTTATTGTTTTTTGATTTTGTTGAATGATGTTGCCATGGTTACTTAAATCAAAATTTCAGTAAAATTGTTTTAAAAGGCTACTCCTCCTACAGTTTTAGTCTGATATAATAATAAATCTTGCCAAAAAGAGACTAAACCAAGGATCATTATTCTATTTATTGCTGTTGCAAAGTTTCAAGTCCAAGTGCTACTTTTATCTTCCTTTATAAATACAACCAGTAGAGCTACAGTCTCATCAGAGACTTCTGGTTACTCAGTAGATTTGATCTATGATTTGAAAGCCAAATCTCCCCATTTCTGGATTTTCACCATTTTTAGTAGCTGTACTGGTCAGAGATCAGAAGAACTTATGCGATAGTAAGGTGTCCGTCCGTCCGTCTATAAACAATTTTTCAAAAATGCTACTCCTCCTACAGTTTTGACATTTTTTTTGAAATACTTTCAAAATGCTACTCCTCCTACAGTTTTGATCTAATTACAATATAACTTGGCACACAAGTAGATTACACTGAGATACATAATTCTGTATATCAATTTTTGGTTTTGGTGTAGTGTTGCCATGGTTACTGAAATCAAAATTTCTTTGAAAAAATATTTAAAATGCTACTCCTCCTACAGTTTTAGTCTGATTGCATTAAATTTTGCCACAAAAAAGAGATTAAACCAAGGATTATTATTCTATTTATTGCTGTTGCAAAATTTCAAGTCCAAGTGCTACTTTTTTCTTCTTTTGTTATAGGTACAAACCAGTAGAGCTACAGTCTCGTCAAAGACTTTTGGTTCTAAAATTATTAATTATAATCTCGAGCGGTCAGATGCTTGTAATAGTAAATATATATTGACATACAGTTTACACTTAAATTAATGCCTATCACCAAAAACTATTATTTCAGTCCTGCAAGTTTTCAACATCAAAGCTAAAAAGGTCAAGTCTCAGAGAATCCCTTCATCATTTTATCACCGCTTTATATGGAGAGAGAACTTAAAGGAACTCTAAACAACTAATTCATTCATGTCTACCTGAAATGACACTACAATCCAGTCCCTTTTTTTTTTTATCTCTACAGGTATTCAACATTGTTGGACATTTAGTGTACTGGGGTAAAGCCACCATTATTTACCCTCTGTGCGAGACCAATATGTATGTCTTGTCACCTGTAGCAAATACTTACATGTGAGTGTCATTACCTGCATTTTGATATACATGAAAAGAGTTACACTGGAGTAGGAGTTATCACCCTTTACGTCTCTTTTGTCCAACAGTAACTCAGACCTCTCATCGGAGTTCAGTCAGCTTTTCTCTCTGTCCCTGTGTGGCCAGCTAGCCGAGTTTTCTTACCCTGTGATGTTAAGAGAGTCTAAAGATGTGTTAAAACCAACAAAACAACAGGTGAGTTGAACAATAACATGAGATATGGTTACAGAATCATCTGTTTTACCAGTACTCATCAATCTAGCAAACTAAGCAATCTTAGTTATTCATGTTCACTGTAAGCCCATACTTAACTTAATATGGAGTCAAAGGCTTTTGTACAAGATGTGAATTAATGTTCTGTCTCAAGAATACCTTCCATCAACACTTTAGTCAAATTAGAATATTTATTTTTAAAAGTGAATACATGTATCAGTAATATGCTACATAATATGTCTTATGTTCAGGATCAGAAGGTGAGGATTGTGGTGTGGTTGCTGCAGCATAGACTGCTTATTCAGCTGCACACCTACGTAATCTTCTGTCCACCAGCATCAAGAAAAATGAAGAAAGTTTCAGAAGAAATTGGTAGGACATCAGGGATGCCCATTGTACCAGAAGAGGAAAGTTTGTCAGTGTCAGATATTGCATCAGGTAGTTTATATCAGCTAAACCAAGCTGAAGGTTCATGTGAGCATTTCTAATGAATGTTTATGTGTCATTTTTCTTTAAATTTCTCAAGGTTTTTTTTTTCAGAATTTAGAGTTTGACTGAAGGGTATTCATAAATTAGAGGGGAAAGTAATACTGATTTACAAGGGAACGTGAAAAAAAAAATAGGTTGACTTTAAGGGGGCTGACTGGGGTTTTCATTGCACAATATTTCTCACAGCATAGTAAAATCAAGCATATTTACTCTTTTAAAGGAACTATTTTTACATAATTTATAAAAATTAACAAATTTAGGAAATCTCAGGTTAAAAAATCTAATTACATTTTTAAATAACTGATTTTTTAAATGATTTTTCATATGATGGGTAGATAGATGTTGTAATAGTGTATTTTTGATGGTATGAATAACCAGAGTTCTTTAAGCGGGGTCATTAATTATGTCATAAAATAAAAAGTATAAAATAAATGCTCTTGAAATTTTTAAACATAGGAAATTGATAATCTAACAATCATTTTTAGTATTTTTTATGTAAATCTGTGGTATCTGTCATGTTTTGTTGTACTCCATAAAAATAGGAAAATATCATGATTTTTGACATTTTTAGATGCCCCCTCTGGAAACCAAATGGTAGAATGTTCTGTTTCTTGCATAAAATGTACAATAAAGTATTACCCATCAAATGATATAATTTGAGCAAAAAGTCTTAAGTAGCATTTGTATAATTTGCTCCGAAGTGCGAAAAAATGTTATTTTCCTATGTAATCCTATTGTAAATGTACTTATATTTTGAGATGGTCCCTAAAAAATAACCAGATGGTAGATTTTCACTAAACTTGGCATGTATACTGAAGTCAATGTAAGGTACATATGGTATAAAATTAAAGAGTTTCTCTGTACATGTAGTAGTTTTCACACAATAAAACGCCAGTCGGCTCCCTTAAATTTTTATACTCCATTGCATTATGATTAATCCCATCAGCCTTACAATATATCCTTTAGTGCAACTTTTGCCACGTATTTAGTCAGTTTTCGTACCTATTATAGTCAGTATCTGATTACCATTCCTATTAAAGATTGCAAAATGTGTATGAGGTAAATCTCTAATTCCAGCAATTTGTTCTATTTTCAGTGAACAGTGATGAGAGTTTAGCCCTGAGCTACCAAGGAATGAGCCAGTTTTCTAAGTCCCCCTCTTCTGACGGGTCCTTGGTCTCGGAGGACAGGTACTGGCCACTCCATGATGAACTAGCCCACCTCTCCAAGGAGGAGAGAGACAGCATTCTGGACACACAAGCTGCCAAAGAGAATGTGGAGGATCTAAAGCTCTTTACAAAGTATGTATCATATGTAGTGGGCCATTCCCCTTCCTTTCTTGTGCACCTTGAGTATTTGAAATAAAGTACTGTGAAATCACTAATTTTCATGGGGGGTTAATTTTTGTTGTTTTCGAGGTATGAAGAGACTAATGAATTCATGTCCACCACCAAATGTAAAACATCATATACATACCTACTTAACACTTCCCCAACCATGAAATTAAATCCTTCCAAACCAATATTATTTCTTCAAACCTCAAAAATTTGACCCCACAAAAATATGTGATTTCACAGGAGTGTGGTAATGATGGTATTTGGTATGCATACTGGATGCAGAATTTTTGTATTTGGCAGCATATTTATGGAAACTGTACTTATCTGAATTTTTTTTTAGACTCTTTCCGTACTTCAGAGGGGACCACCATTTAGAGGAGATCATGTATTATGAGAATCTTCACAGATCTCAGTTGATGGCCCTGCTGGATAAATTCCGGTCTGTGCTGATCACCTGTCAATACGAGGACCCAGCCACCTCCTTCACTCACATGGATCACCACCAGAAAACCTAAGGATCCATGACACAAGTGCACCAAACCAGGGCCATGTGCTGGGATCATTATCCGGTTAGGAACAGGGCTAATCAGCCTATCAAGTTCTAGGCTCATAAAACAATCAAGCTATCATCACGTGTGTGATGGTTCACACAATGGGATTGTGCAACTGGAATGAGCTAAGCAGATCTGAATTGTATGCATACGTGTATGTGTATAGCAGTCTGTACAATTTTACCATTTATAAATCTGTTGCAGTAATTAAGAAAACAAATCAGAAAGACTGAGCTTACAGTATCCAGTGTCAACTTTCTTCATCATTATAAAAGATATTTTACATTAAGCCCTATTAAGACATTCAAAGTAATTAATTTCTATGATTAATGAAGTTATATGTTCGATATTGTTCTGTGCCATACACTTCCAATGTGTCTTCCAGTGTGTTGAGTGCCCACTATTTTTATGTCCCACCATGAATATGGCCAGGGCATATAGTGTTTGTCATGTCCGTCTTCCGTCCTTCTGTCCTTCCGTCAAACTTTGCGTTTAGCTCTGTTCAAAGCTCAGTTTCAAAGAAACTATCCAAGATATTTTTATCAAACTTCATATGCTGATAGATATTGATGAGAGCTAGGCAACTGCGTCAACATTTTTTGACCTTGACCTTTCCTTTGACATTGACCCCACTTTTCTTAAATTAGTGTTTAGCTCAGTTTTTAAGATACCATTCAAGATAGTGTAATCAAACTTCATATGTTGATACATACTGATGTAAGCTATTCAACTGCATCAACATTTTTTGATCTTGACCTTTCTTTTGACCTTGACCTCACTTTTCTTAAATTAGTGTTTAGCTCAGTTTTAAAGATACCATTCAAGATAGTGTAATCAAACTTCATATGTTGATACATACTGATGTAAGCTATTCAATTGATCAACATTTTTTGACCTTGACCTTTCTTTTGACCTTGACCTCACTTTTCTTGAATTAGTGTGTAGCTCAGTTTTAAAGATACCATTCAAGATATTTTTAACAAACTTCATATGCTGATACATACTGATGAGAGCTATTCAACTGCATCAACATTTTTTGACCTTGACCTTTCCTTTGACCTTGACATCACTTTTCTTAAATTAGTGTCAAACTTCATATGCTGATACATACTGAATAGAGCTATTCAACTGCATCAATATTTTTTGACCTTGACCTTTCCTTTGACCTTGACCTCACTTTTCTTAAATAAGTTTTTAGCTCAGTTTTAAAGATATCGTTCAAGATAGTGTTATCAAACTTCATATGCTGATACATACTGATGAGAGCTATTCAACTGCATCAACATTTTTTGACTTTGACCTTTCCTTTGACCTTGACTTACTTTTCTTAAATTAGTGTCAAACTTCATATGCTGATACATACTGATGAGAGCTATTCAACTGGATCAATATTTTTCACCTTGACCTTTCCTTTGACCTTGACCTCACTTTTCTTAAATTAGTGTTTAGCTCAGTTTAAATGAAACAATTCATAATATTTTTATCAAACTTTATTTGCTAATACATACTGATGTAACCTTTTCAACTGCATCAACAATTTTTTACCTTTACCTTTCCTTTGACCTTCTTGACCTCACTTTTCTTAAACTAGTGTCAAACTTCATATGCTGATACATACTGATGTAAGCTATTCAACTGCATCAATATATTTTCACCTTGACCTTTCCTTTGACCTTGACCTCACTTTTCTCAATTTGTGTTAAAATGTTGCATTACTAATATACCCTCGGCGGGGCATTCATGTCCTATGGACATATTTCTAGTTAATTATTTGACTGTAAGTATTGTGCTGGATACACGTCAACTTCTTATATGAAGTATTTGTTTGTACTATTTAGTATAATGTGCAATAAAGTCATAATACCAGTTCACTCAGTAACTTGTATTAAAAAAGGAAACTGTACATTTACAATACCTAGACTGTTAAAAATTGCATGATATCATAGCAGAATTTGTGTTAGTGGTAACAATGTTCCAGATCACATATGTAAAAATTTTTTTTTCTAAAATTATGTATCATGATGAATGCAAAAAAACTGGTTACAATTAAAATGCTTATATTCACTCTTACAGTGATGTGATTTAAATTCCCTGTAGTTTTAAATCATTATTATGCACTTAATAGATATAACAAATTACTTGTACAGTCAAACCTCGTATTCTCAAACTTGATGGGACCAGGAAAAAACTTTGACATATCTGAGGATTCCAGATCGCAGCACAGTTAAGGTTACAATAAGGAGGAGGGGCCTAATTTATACAGGAAATGCTTACTTTGACATCACAGAAAAATAGATGTTCTTCAAATTACCACAAAATGAAATGATTTGCTATTTTAAGCTGTTGGATAGCTTTAAACTACATCAATACTTACTATTGCATGTATTTTTGTCATTGGTTTAATACCACACAGCAATATATAAACAATTCACTGATCGCAATGCACCTGTCAATGTGACGTCATATCGTAAAACTTGACGCAGTTTGTATGCAGTGAGAGGCATATCAAGTTATATTTTACACAATGAAAAATGTATTTTGTAATTAAATAAAATATTATTTGCAGATATGTAAGAGGCCATTAACTTGGATGCGATGTCTATTTTATGATTTTATTCATATACTTCCCGTGCATTCCATACACAAGCGATACTGCCGTATATTTGTATGCAGATTCACAGAAGGGTAATTGAAGGGTCGTAATAAATCGATATATTGCAAGGGCATACCCTCAATGAATTATGACAAGCTTTTACACATAAATTCAAGAGGTATGAAGATATTTGAAAAGTGCTGCGAACCTGATGAAATATTTCAAATTAATAAATTATTTCTATATTTAATGTACTTGACCAGCAAAATATTCAACATACAGTCTAACAAATGTAATTTTAGCAATTAGATAGTAAAATCTATATGGGTTCGCAGCACTTTTCACAAACTACAAAGAGTGTTGAAAATAATTATAAATTAAACTTAGACTTTGAACCTGGTTAAGCCCTTGCAATATTGGAATTTATAGATGACCTCAATACTGCAGGTATATTTGCTAAAATCACATGACTGCCACATCACGTGACAAGTCTAAATAAGAAATCTAATCGTCCTCAACTTAAGGTTTTCAACCACATTGCATTTGTCCGATAATAGTAAAGTCCTAAAAAGAATCCCCCATCCTTGTAAAGAATGTATTTTCTATGTAAAAAATTTGCCGTCTCCATTTGGCACCTTAACTGTACTGCAATATCGAGGGTAAAATACTTAAAGAATAAGTGGTTGGGACTTCCAAATCAGTTTGACATATCCATGGTATTTGAGATATCAGTGTTTGAGATATCAAAGTTCAACTGTAAAACGAATCTTTGTTCTTCTCTGGCCTTTGGTATAAGTGTGTTTACTATACATGCTGTCAATATTTATACCCCTCCAGGGCTCCTTTGCAGTGAAGTTTGAGAGCAGTATACTGGAATCAGATTTTCTGTCTGTTGAAACATCTAATTTCCAACTTATAAGGGATTCCAGTTTTGCAAATATGTTGCATCTGTGGATAATTAAATGCATTCTGTGTCCCTTCTGGGGTATCAGTCCCCTTAGTAAAAGTATAGTTGCTTTTCATGGAGTTGGCAAAGATGTCATATGCTTTCCATTGATAGGTGCTATGTTCTTTGTTAACTCTGGCTGTACAAAAAGTTTCCTTGATGCTTTACAAATGGCAATGATATCAACCCATGTAAATAGCAACTTGTATTAAAAGTAATTCATTAACTTTAGTTATTATAAACATTTCCTTTATATACCAGGACTTTCACAGTAATTATTTTTGACAAACTGTGTAAAGAGATACCTTATCCAAAGGTTCCTACAAGAGACTAGGTTACAAATATGCCGTGTAAATTCTCTAATTAGTACTTTCATCCAACCACACCTTATCTATCTGTAGAGTCCTAAATGTAATGCAGTGGCATTGCCCAGTTGCAACCTCTTGAGTCGACCATGATGAACATATCCATGTATTTCACATTGTATAGAGCTCAGCCGTTTTAAGATTGTGTCAACTCAGAAATTTGTAGTCAATGTCTTGAATTAATTTTATTAAGTTAAATTACATGTCAAATTTATCAAGCACCCAATCGTATATAAACCATTTTTAGCGGGGTTCATTGTTCATAGAGCAATAGCCAGCTTCTGTCACTGTCTTTCAACCTGATATCTGCTTCCTCATTGCCAAATTAAATATTACATATGCACAGCCGCTTTCGAGACAATACAACACTAAATTAAACAAAGTAAAGTAACTGAAGATTTTTTCTGAACAAATAAACATTAAAGGTAATGTACTAGCTTTCTCTAAAGTTCTTTGAGTAATTGTTTCAAATATTTGAATGCTTTTCATCAGGTGGCCCTGTCTGTGTCACATTCTATAAATAGAGGTGTTACCAGGCTAACACTTAAGCGGGGAGCATGTGACTTGATGTAGACCTTGCTGCAAAACTCCCTGCAGAGGACTCATCTGTGCACAAACGTTTGACCTTGCTGCATCAATGTTTATTTACTTCTATAAGTGGTATAAGACCCCAGAATGATATGTGATAAATTGTTTATGCTGTTAAATTCTATTGTATTTTATTTAATTTTTTGACATTTTCTATGTCCTTGCTTGTGTTACATATTCTTCCAGTTTCTGAACTTCTTGTTATTTATCTGTTACATGTATTACAATGTATGTTTCATGTTAAACAGTCCTTGTTCACTACTCTATAAATGAACCCAGCTCTCTGTACTTCTGAGTAATTTGATATTTTATTGGCATGAAATTTCTTTCTTTCTTTGCACTCATTTTGATATTGGATATCAGAAATAGTTTTCAAGCCTGTAAGAAAGCGAGAGAGAGATTAACACTCATGAATATTCAAATACCGGTAATCTATGGATTCAATAGTCTATAATCAACATTGAATATTAATTGCATTTGCAATTGTTTTGAAAATAATTGCTGTTCAGTCTTGTAGGTATCATATGTACCTAAAACTTCGGACAAAACTGTAATTTATGTTATATCATATGTACTGATACTTAAAAGTATTACAAGAGGCCCATGGGCCACATCGCTCACCCGAGCACATTGGCTAGGAAAAAAAGTAAAATCAGTACAGTATTGAAAAGTTTACAGGGAGGGGGGTGTTGAAGTTTAAACTACCTGATGATGCTTTCATATCAATATAACAAATGGCTTTGTTGTTCTTGAGCAGCAGATTTTTTTCCCATATGTTCATTTGTAAAAATTTGATCCCCCATTGTGGGGACCCGTTATCCCCCTGGGGACCCTCATTTGAACAAATTTTATTCTACACTACCCAAAGATGCCTCCATATCAATTTGACTAATCATAGCTTTTCTGTTCTTGAGAAAAAGACTTTTTCCTATATATTCCTCTGTAAACTTTGATCACCCATTGTGGCCCCAACCTATCCCCAGGGTAATGATTTGAACAAACTTGAATCTTCACTATCTGAGGATGCTTCCATATAAATATGACCAATCATGGCTTTACTGCTCTTAAGAAGAAGATTTTTAATGATATTTTCCTATATATTTCTATGTAAAACTTTTATCCCCAATTGTGGCCCCATCCTACCCCCGGGGGTCATGATTTGAACAAATTTGAATCTTCACTACCTGAGGATGCTTCCATATAAATATGACCAATCATGGCTTTACTGATTTTAAGAAGAAGATTTTAGAGATATTTTCCTATATATTTCTATGTAAAACTTGGATCCCTCATTGTGGCCCCACCCTACCCCTGGGGGTCATGATTTGAACAAACTTGAATCTACACTACCTGAGGATGCTTCCATAAAAATATGACCAATCATGGCTTTGCTGTTATTAAGAGGAAGATTTTGAAAGATATTTTCCTATATATTTCTATGTAAAACTTGGATCCCCCATTGTGGCCCCACCCTACCCCCGGGGGTCATGATTTGAACAAACTTGAATCTACACTACCTGAGGATGCTTCCATATAAATATGACCAATCTTGGCTTTACTGTTCTTAAGAAGAAGATTTTTAAAGATATTTTCCTATATATATCTATGTAAAACTTTGATCCCCCATTGTGGCCCCACCCTACCCCGGGGGTCATGATTTGAACAAACTTAAATCTACACTACCTGAGGATGCTTCCATAAAAATATGACCAATCATGGCTTTGCTGTTCTTAAGAAGAAGATTTTTAAAGATATTTTCCTATATATTTCTATGTAAAACTTGGATCCCCCATTGTGGCCCCACCCTACCCCCGGGGGTCATGATTTGAACAAACTTGAATCTACACTAGCTGAGAATGTTTCCACATAAGTTTCATCTTTGAATTCCTGGCCCAGTGGTTCTTGAGAAGAAGATTTTTAAATGATGCCATTATTTTTTCACCAATTCCTAATTATCTCCCCTTGAAAGAGGGCATGGCCCTTCATTTGGACAAACTTGAATCCCCTTTACCCAAGGATGCTTTGTGGCAAGTTTGGTTGAATTTGGCCCAGTGGTTCTTGAGAAGAAGATGAAAATGTGAAAAGTTTACGATGACGACGACAGACAATGGACAAATTTTGATCAGAAAAGCTCACTTGAGCCTATGGCTCAGGTGAGCTAAAAATATTTATATACATGTACATAAAAAAGATAAAATAAGTGTATAAAAACAATTTCAACCACCGATTTCATCTAAGCTTGTTGTAAAGGGTGTGTATATACAGAAAACAAGATATTTGTTAAATACTGATGCTCCCATATTGAAGCTCATCGCTATTTAAGTCTTTTAAAAATAGTCAAACTCCAAGGTCAAGAGGTGAACCCACTGGGTAAATTAACCCCTGTGATATGCATATAGTAACTAGAAAATAAGTTTCATCAGCCTTTTAATTTGTCCTCTGCCATTTTGTCCCTCTTACTAACACTCTTATTCCCAAGGACGTAGAATCGCAACAGTTTTTTGGCCCATTCTTCTGCATAGTCTATGTTGATTCTGGCACTTTTTACTATCTGTGTCTCGGGTACAACATCCCCTTCCTCTAGCCAAATTTCATCTGAAGCAGTCAGGTCCGTTTTGTTGAATTTATCCTTGCTGATTTTCAGAGCTTGGCAGAGTTTAGATGGACCATTACAGAGGTCTTTTTCTTTCGTAATTGTTTTGGACTTTTGTGATCTGATTTTCTGCATGTGGTCTATTCCATCAACTGGGTCAATGGCTCGAAGCAATACAGCTGCGCCGTCACCTGAATACAACATCACATTGTTTATTAACTTCTATTGAATTGATTCAGACTGAGATTTTTATACTTTGTTTACAGTAATTGTCAGATGTCACATGATATCAGTATGTATTTTTATAGTGTAATGTTTAATACAAGTATTAAATGTATACACCTACAAAGGATCACAAAGAATTACTATAATGTTCGTTCTCGGGGAGTCTGAATCACCTGAACAAATTCATATGATTCTTTATCTTCAGTGGTACAACTGTATGAAATTGCATTATTTATGTGACACATATGCTACTCTCATCAAAATAAACGAGAGGCCCATGGGCCACAATGCTCACCTGAGTCACTTTGGCCCTGCTGTTCTGCATCAGATTTTTTGCCAACATACACATATTCTTTTGTAATTTTGATCATTTTTACACTGGGGCTGTGATTTGAACAAAATGGATCTACACTACCAGACAATGCTTCTATAATTGTATGCAGGGGTAGACTAATAGAATTTTGCATTACTTGCTCTCGGACAGGTTACCATCATAAAATTACTTGTCCTACCAAAAAATATGCTTGTCCGACCTGTTTCTTAATTTAAACAAAATCATTAACATTAAATTATTTCTCAACTGAGACACTACACGGGAATCAACCTAGATCTAAAATCACTAAATTCTCCCAGATTTCTTTCGATATTTTCAGGGCATTGGTAAAGTCAAAGTTTCATTCTATTCTCCTCAACAGGGGCTGACAAATCCCATTGCCTGACGCCCGGGACTAGTGAATTTTGGAGACGGGCAAGTGAATTTTTATTAACCACTTGCCCGAGGGCAAGTGACTCTTTCAAGAAAAAAACATAATTAAGTCTTAATTTAAGTGGAAAAGGGCACTTGCAATAATCATTTTTTGTCTTCCTACTTTTCATAGTTTATGGTGGGGCAAGTAAAAATTCAGGTAGGGCAAGTTAATTTTGACCATATACTAGCCCATGGACAAGTAATTGAAAAATCTATTTGTTAGCCCCTGCTCAAAATTCTTCAGTAAGATACTCCATATATTTTCTTTAAATAAATATGTATTTATTTAATGAAAAAGGTGAAGATAACGAACAGTGATTGATCTCAAAAAACCTACAAACGAGACAAATCTGTGAACACTACTGCATGCCGATTGAGCTATCGACTTCATGACTATGTGATTGCCAATCAACAACACCAATTTTAATAACAGTAGCATGTCTGTATTCACAGAATGAATTTAATATTTTGTCAATAAAAAAAGTCTAAAATCCAATTCAACTTTTTTGACATGTTTTATGACTTGTGTTTATATTAACAACACATTCATGGGTAAATTCTAGAGAAGTTCTGACCGAGTATTCAATATAGTGGACAACAGCAGCGAAAACAGATTGCTTTGTTGTGATTCATGATATTTTAAAAGCGGTAACACAAAAGACATATTGAGTACATGTATATGATTTTTTGTAAATGGGAAAAAGCACTTATCCGCGGGCAGGCACCACTTATCAAATAGCTTGCCCACCAAACAAAATTGGTTGTCCCGTGCGTCGGGCAATGCTATTTGTCTAGCCCTGGTATGATTCATAATGGATTTGCTCTTGAAGAGTTTTAAAGGTTTTCCCAACAGAATCCCTATTGTGGCCCCACCCAACTCCAAGGGGTCATGATTTGAACAATTTAGAATCTACACTACCTCAGGAAGTTTCTACATATGATTCAGCTTTCCTGGTCCAATGGTTCTTGAGAAGAATTTTTTTTAAAGATTTTCCCTATATATTTCAATGTAAAACTTTGATTCCCTATTGTGTCCCCACCCTAACCCCATGGACCATGGTTATAATTGTACAATTTAGAATCTACACTACCTCAGGAAGCTTCCACATAAGCTTCAGCTTTCCTTGTCCAGCAGTTCTTGAAAAGAAGATTCTTTAAGGATTTTTCCTATATGCATGTATATCAATGTAACACTTTGATTCCCTATTGTGGTCCCACCCTACCCTAGGGGCCATAATTTGAACAATTTAGAATTTACATCTACACTACCTCAGGAAGCTTCCACATACGTTTCAAATTTTCCGGTCTAGTGATTCTTGAGAAGATTTTTTTTAATGACTCCACCCTATTTTTGATTCTTCTTGATTTTCTCACTTGGAAGAGGGCTTGGAACTTCATTTTAATAATTTAGAATTCCCTTCACCCAGGGATGCTTTGTACCAACTCTTAGTCCAGTGGTTCTTGAAAAGAAGTTGAAAATGTGAAAAGTTTACAGACAGATGGACAGAAAGACAGCTAGAGAGATGGATGGATGGACACCTGAAAACAGGTGATCAGAAAAGCTCACCTGAGCTTTCAGCTCAAGTGAGCTAAAAGAAAATAAAAGCAAGCAGTAGAAATTAAATCAAAACTTATATTATGAAATTGGATTTATTTTCCTTGCAACTTCTTGAAAGAGGCAATGAAGTGTACCTTCACTAGAAATGTTTATACAGCAATACATGCCATATATATTGTATACATAGCAAGTCCCAGGCTCCATAAACATGGCCTCGTTTTTGGCTGTCTTTTTTCCATTGAAGGAGTGGGCTCCCTTGTCTTCACCTCCTAAGTATGCCTCAGTCTCCACTATAACACCACTAAGCTTATTCCCAGTGTCCTTACAGTGAGTGACCAGAAGCTTGCCTAGTAATGCTTTGGCAAGAGTTTCACAATCCTGATCAAAGAAACTTTTTACCAGCCTTGTCTTGACTGGTTTTGAGCAAGAGGTTGAGGATTCCACTTTGCCAGTTTTTGCTGAACCTTCTGATATATCTTCAGTATTATTCTTTATGCTTTCAATCTTCCTTTTCCTTTTTGAACTCATAACTACACACTTGATGATCCTCTAAAATATAATAAAAATAATAATAAATACAATATATTTAACCTATTATAAAATGAATTTTGAAAGATTTCTTTGGGAGTAGTATTTGGAAAGTATTTCACAGTAATTTCTATTTTTAGTAACCATGGCAAAACCACTATTCAAAACTGATATACACAGAATTATTTATCCGAGTTTGAAAACTCCTTGTGTCCAAGATATATTGAAATCAGATCCTAACTGTAGGATTAACAACACTCAGCAAAATCAAAAACCAAATAAAAAGAATTATGTATCTTAATGTAGTCTACTTGTGTGCCAACTTATATTAAAATCAGATTAAAACAGTAGGAGGAGTGGAATTTTGAAAGTATTTCAACACCATTCATCAAAATCAAAAACAGATGCACATAATTATTTTATCTTAGTGTAGTCTACTAGTATGCCAATTTATACTGAAATCAAACAAAAACTGTAGGAGGAGTAGCATTTTGAAAGGATATCACTGAAATTTCTATTTTTAGTAACCATGGAAACATTATTCATCAAATAAAAAAAACGATGCACTACTTATGTGCCAATTTATACTGAAATCAGACTAAAACTGTATGAGGAGTAGCATTTTGAAAATATTTCACAGAAATTTCTAATTTTAGTAACCATGGCAACACTGCTCATCAAAAACAGATACAAAGAAGTATGTATCTCAGTGTAGAGTATTTGCGTATTAAAATCTGACTAAACCTGTAAGACAGTAGCATTATAAAGGAATTTCACAGAAATTTCTATTTTTAGTAACCATGGCAACACCCTTAGCCAAAATCAAAAACTGATATTAAACAATTATTGCTGTTTTTGAGGTCAATACAATGATTTAGCCACCTGAGGAGTACAATATTCACAGAGCCCGAAGGGCAAGGTGAATATTGTACTTGAAGGTGGCTAAAAGCCTAAATTATCGTACTGACCGAAAAAAGCATTAATTGTTTTATTATATGATTCAATGATAAAATGATAGAAATTCATTTAGCAATTCATGCCATCTTACTCGTTTACATTTGTTGAAGTCCTAGCCAAATGCAATAAGAGAAGCAGCGTTAAATAAACATTACCAGTTGTAATAATTTTGAATTTTTTAAATCTACATATATTTTAGTTGCTAAGAAAAATAAAGAAGAAGAAATAATGTCAAGTTCTTTTATAGGATTGATTTTGAAAAAGGGGAGGACATTATCAGGAAAAACTGACTGCTGAAAAAAATCTTTGATTAGCCCCCATGAAAAGAATTAATTCTATTTTGGATGGGAGATAAGGTCCATTAGTGGGGAACCAGCCTTTCAATCTTTTTTAGATTTTTTTAAAGTATACGTTCAGAAAAAAAAGTATTTGGGGGGGGGGGGGGGGGGGGGGGAGGGGGGTCCCTGCACACCCCAACCATCCCCACCCCAAATTATATACATTGTATTCTCTAATGTCATGTTCACCTGAATCGTTCTTCAACAAATCTTGGGAATCCGATACCCGGGACCTTGTAAAGTTGGAAGCGGACACGAGGAAACTGCATACTAACAAGCCCGAAGGGTATGTAAATTCAGAGGCTTAAAACACTACATTGTTTATAACAATGTACTTTTGCTTTTGATTTGAACAATCAATTCATTCATCAAGTACTTCATTTTCATTCATGTTTACACCTATTCTCACATAATCCATCCACATGCAGCCTAACTTTCATTAAAAAAATAAAGTCATTATTTGGGGGAGAAGTTGATGTTTTTTAGCAAACAAAACATGGGAGAATTATTTTTCAAAATATCAGAACTCAACCATGCATGATGACAAAAATATTCAATATGCAATATAGGTAGTGTATTTACCTTCGTAATTTACGTTATTATCTTACGTCGAAATGAACCCGTCAAAAATCGTTTTATTGCCAAAATGAATATTCAGTTTCACTTGGATTTTTTTTAGCACTATGTCTGTACTAAAAAAAATACTTCGAAAATTTTGTTTTTTGCCAGTGTTTTACTCTTAATTTGTAATTAACAAATTTTATTTTCTTTAATCTTATTTTTCAACTGAAATAATTCTGTTCCTTCTTACTAGAAATGTTTAAGCTGAATTCCTGTGCGACTTGATTTTATGTTTATGAATCATAAGAGAAGAGGATTTTAAAATTTAATTTGGGAAGAGACTGTGAAAATTCTAAATTGGTTTTTCTTAAAGAAATATATTGATAACGTAAATTACAATTTTACTGGTATTCAAACCAAAAATTAATATTTTCTTGAACTTATTTTCATCCATCTAATGACATGCAGTATTTTCAATTGCCCACAAAATGCCACAAACACTGATTATTTTTCATCCTTTTGAGAGATTCACAGTTAAATATAATGACAATGTAAGATCTGCTGTTGGTATGTATTTTTTCCTATCTTTCTCTAGTTATGCCTCTCCCTATTTTTTTCTTCTTTTATTCCCCATATGCTTTTTTAATTTCTGCTTTTGACTTTACAATCTCTGTTAAATGAAATCTATGAAATATAATTACGGAGAAAGGCAATTAAATTATATTTAATTTATGTTATTTTTACTGTAATTTACGTTATGAATGTTTTGCTTCATCAAGTAATCAATGAAGAGAGATTTATGCGTAACATATTGCTACAAATAAATAGAAGTACACCTTGTTTGTAAAATCAACTGAAATTCACGCCAAAAATACATCTTTGAGGAATTATTTGAAAGTTGTTAAAGGTAACACGTAATTTACGTTATCTGATGGTACTTCCTGCATCAGATCTACATCGAAAGTTCGGTGGTGTTAAGATGCTTTCGAGAAGAAACCAATAACGTTTCCTGCATGGTTCCGTATTGTCCCGACGTCTTATTTGCAAGATAGGTACCATATATGTATTATACTGATAACGTAAATTACATAACGTAAATTACTTTCTATCAGATTAATTGGTGTAAAATGTGTACTCGCACAGATCAATGTTCGTTTTAATATTTTACGTGTTTGGTAGGTCAGGAAGAAGAAATAAATTAATATGCAAAGACAATTTTACTTGTATTCTTTAAGTATCGTTGATAACGTAAAATACATCCTTAAAACGAACCACTCACCTCTGGTTAAAAGACCAATGTGTTTCTGTAAGTATTCTGTCATATAACTTTTCTTTGTTTCTGATTGCATTTTATGGACTTTGTTGGATATTCTAGTAGATATTTTATGTTTTTAGATACCCTTTTATGCTGTTTACACAAATACTAAGATTTTGATAACGTAAATTACAGAAATTTAGCGACAAAGTTATTTTATATTTTTTAAAAATTTCACTGTAGACAAATATCTAAAAGTGTGAAAAATCAATATATTCATGCATTGTTATATGTAAAAGTCGTGCTTTTTAGCATAAAATGTAATTGTTTTGTTTTATTCATTGGTCCAAACTTTGCCTTTTGCCTAAGCGACAGATCGAGAAGCCATTTATTAGACTATATACTTGGATCCCAGGGAAGTTTTAACCTGTGTATTAACACTTAACGATGTTGGTTTGGTAACTAGTCGTATCACAAACGAAAACACTACAAAATTTACCAATTATTTTAATAATAATGTAATTTAAATTGCTTGCGACATCCAAATAGCGCATATGGACAGATTATGTGAGAATAGGTGTTAATGTAAAATCAAATTAGATAACATCAATAACATTAAATATAACTCAAAAGGGTTTGTCTGATTTTTTCATCCAAAGTGAAGCATAAAATTTCAAAAACAGGGCCATTTTTAAAATAATATTTGTTTGCCCTCTCTCGACTTGGGGTAAAGGAACTGGGTCATTAGGTAGGTGGAAAAAACTTTTTCCTAGAAAATTTCAACATACATATTGACTGGATGAGAAAATTCAGGAATAAAAAGAAAAAATTCCTGCAGGTTAAAAAAATTTTTGAGTAGGGGCGTTTTTTATAGCCAGTCGGTCGGGAGAGGGCAAACAAATAATTTTTTAAAGACGGCCCAGGTTATTCTTCCGCGATTTCGAAGAATCTTTTTTGCATTGGAGGCCGGCACAAAAAGTATATAGGTTGAAAATAATGGTGTGACAATAGATGCTCTCGGAGAAATGGATTTCCTTGGCATGAAAAGGCAAATAATAATAAATTCTTAATAAAAGTCTGGGCATGTAAATATCTGTTCGGGCTAATGTAATAATTAGATACACCTGCCCGAAGGGCATGTGCTGAAAAAAACATATGGCAAAGACTGCTGAATGGAAGTTGGTTACTAAGCAAATGAAATAAGTTTTCCAAAACTATTTGTATCAATTTGGGATTTCCCAATCTATTTTTTAGACCAATGCAGAGAAAATAAATCTTTATATTCATCTGGAAGGTCTCGTGCAGGTGAATATAACGTATATTTTTTCTACATTGTTGAATCTCAGCCAATCAGAGTAATAGGAATTATTCAATCATATAATAAAAAGAATTATGTATCTTAGTGCAGTCTTCTTGTGTACTAAGTAATATTGTAATCAGATTAAAACTATAGTCTATATGTAGAGTTACTCCTCATATTAGTACCTCTTGTTAGATTACCACTGATTATTTCGGCGCTGTCTGCTACAAATCAATCTACAACTTTAAACTTCAGTAGCTCATAATTTGAATTCAAATGTACATGATGAAAACAAAAATAATGCGCCTCTGTAATCCATATTCCATTTTGTTCGTTTTAACAACGTTTGTGAACACACCATACACCTTACACCTGGTAACCAAAACGAAAGTAAAAGTAAAATAATTTATTGGACCAAGCTTCGACATGCTAAAGGGGCAGCTAGTGGGAGAATTTAAAAAATAAAGTCATGTTCTCTTCTTTAATCTGTATCATCAAGTCATTTTAATCCATTTATAATAATTATATCACGTGCGAACGTTCGAAGCATTACTGTCTGTGACGTTCGTTCCTAAGTCTGAAATAAGCTTGTTATTCGAATGAGAAACTTCCAGATTTTCTAGAAACGAAAGAGGTAGGTCTTTACTTCTGTTCATAATAACATTAATTATTTTCTAAGTTATGTAAAAAGAGCTTGTCCATTAGAGTTCTATCCGGGATGCAGATTAGAATTTTTTGAAATTTGTTACCCGCTGCAGTATTCACTAGGCCTAACGTTAGGCCTTATATGTGTTCATGGTGTTATTTGCTTAAATTGGCAAACTATAAAAAGAAAATGAAAATTTAAAATAATTTGATGTTAAATCAGAGAGTCCGCATATATAATCGGTATCACAGAAAAAAAGGGGGGTGACCTTTTAAATCCCTTTAAGCACCCCAATGTTGATTGAACATGCGCATAACAGAAATATCCGGGCAATCAAATTGACGTCACGTGGTTTCCCATGCCCTTTCTTTTCGTACACCATCAAAGCTCAAGGAGCCGGCTGGGTCGTTCTGTTCCTCCAAAGTAGTCCGCTTTAACTAAATCAAAGGTACGCCTTTCAATTGAAAAATGTTCATTTATGTGAATTTGATCTTTATTTGCTACTTTAACATCAGTTATTCCATATTAGCATCTGAAATTTATTTAAATTTACACGTTTGTAGCAAACCAGTTTCTCTATGAGTGAACTGCGTTTGAATGAACTTTCCTGTGATCTGTAAAGTTTTGTTTTCAATCTAATTCGTACAGAAGTGTTGGTTTTTCCACTGCTTTTGGAAAGTGTCAACTGCATATTTTAATTAATTGACATAGATCGTGTAAAATCTTCATTAAACATTTCAAGTTCATTATGAACTTGTGACCTTCAAACCTGTAAGTTGCTTTAAAAAGTTAAACTAAAAGATAAACTCTACTACTTTTTTTGCAACAAAATAATACGACAGACGTGTAAATGATTCCCATCTTTTACCTTAAAATTTTCTCTGAAAGGAAAGGAATGTTTCATTTTCAAAGCTGAACATTGAATTGTGCTTTCCCCCTAGAGAGTAAAAATTGGATATCATAGTCATATTACTGGTAATTTATTTGTTTTTGTTTTTTTAAAATTCAAATGAATGTGAAGAACTTGATTTTATTTAATGGTCATTGATAAAATTTTCTTTACAATATTGCAAATTTTGGGATAATGCTTGTTTTGAATTGTGTTCAAACATTATCTGGGGCTATAATATTAATAATGGAAAGGTCACCCATATCTGGGTGATTTGATGAAAAAGTCTGTGTCATAAAATTATCAATTCTTTAGTTAATTTTTTTAATTTTGTTCAATCAAAACTTTTTTCTTTTTTTACAGATGTCATCAAAGAAACTTAGTTTTGCGGAAAATTTTGCCCTCAGTGGAGCAGCTGCCGTCATCTCAAAGACTGCTGCTGCCCCAATCGAAAGAATTAAGTTGCTGGTCCAGAATCAAGATGAAATGCTTAAAACTGGTCGATTGAGTGAGCCATACAAGGGTGTCATTGACTGCACATTGCGTACCTACAAAACCGAAGGTATTCTCCCATTCTGGAGGGGTAACCTGGCCAACTGCATCCGATACTTCCCAACTCAGGCTTTGAACTTCGCATTCAAAGACAAGATTAAGCAGCTCTTCAAAGCCTCAAAAAAAGATAGCTATGCAGTAGGATTTGCCAAAAACATTGGATCCGGAGGTCTTGCTGGAGCACTCTCTCTCTGCTTTGTCTACTCTCTTGACTACTGCCGAACTCGTCTTGCTAATGATGCCAAGGCAGCTGGAAAAGGTGGTGGAGAGCGTCAGTTCAATGGAATGATTGATGTCTACAGAAAGACCATCGCCTCTGATGGACTCGTTGGACTGTACAGAGGTTTTGTGATCTCTTGCGTTGGAATCATTGTTTACAGAGGATGCTATTTCGGCTTTTATGACACTTTACGACCAATTCTCCTTGGAGAAAATGCTAGTGTCATTCTATCCTTCGCTCTTGGATACGTTGTCACAATTAGCGCTGGTCTGGTTTCCTATCCCATTGACACAATCAGGAGGCGTATGATGATGACATCTGGAGAGGCCGTTAAATACAAGGGATCATTGGATTGCGCAATGATCATCATCAAAAACGAAGGATTTATGAGCTTGATGAAAGGAGCTGGAGCCAACATTCTCAGAGGTGTGGCTGGTGCTGGTGTACTAGCCGGATTTGATAAATTCCAAGCCTTGTACATCCAGTGGCGTGTAGGAAATGCATCAAAATAATATATGAGAATTTTAGTGAAATTTCAATGAGTGATATATTTTTACCTGGTTGAACAATACAAACAATACACTGTCAGAGGACTCAATTTGTAAAAGAGTGACTTGAAAGAAGTTTTGTATTATTGTTGTGTGGTGACACATTTCATTCTTCATGTTAACATCTGATTGCCTGGAAATGCATTGTTAATAAAATAAGTTATTAGACAACAAAATTGTATTTTACACAATTTTTTTCCCCCCATTATGTGCACATGAAGTTTTAATTGTCAAAATTCTTCAACAATTATCATGTGTAAGGCAGTATCATCATGCTGAGTCTAAAGTGGGGTTAAGAGATGTGGTTTGGTGATTGTAAGGAGAAATTTGGATGTACTATTTGTAATGATGTTATTCAGGAACTGGAATGAATATTATAAATTTGTTTTGGTTGTAATGAAGTTTGAAGAGTAGGGATGGCAATTGGTAACTGGTTAACCAGTTATTCAATCTTAACTATTGTAATTGGTTAGAAAATCTGTAATCATTATTAAAAAATTAATCAAAAATATACGTAAATTTGAACAAAAGTTTAAAAAATGCAGAGTAGACTCTTGGATAGTAAACAATAATTAAATTTGAACGAAAGTTTAAAAAAAAAGAAACCTCTGCATAAGTGTTAATTTCTGTCTAGTTGTTACCCTGACAGTTCTATAATGCTTTGATGATATTAATTAAGTAGTCATTGAGCAATGTGAATATGGGTATCTTTTGCAGTTATCTATCAAATTATATCAATCAGTAAACCGCTTCACTTCTTAAGCTTCATATGTATGACTTTTCCTACCAACTAAACAGGGATCTGCGTTTTCTAAAGGGGGGGGGGGTGTCCAAGGTCACTTTTAGTTGCTTTACTAATTACTATATACATTTAAGAGCTTTGCAAATTGGGGGGGGGGGGGGGGGCTGGACCCCCTAAATCCACACATGGCTCTGGAAAAATTTCAATGTCTGATTTTTTGGGCATCTTTCATAGTTTTCTTAATTTTTTTCTTGTCCATTGAGAAATCACAATACATGTACATGTAATTTTCTGCTCAAGATAAACAGAATGTTCCTAACTTCTGTTTGTCTTTTTTAGTTTAGTTCTCTGGTGCATATGAATAGAGGGCTATGCAAAAATAAATATGTCCAAAAATGTGTATTTTGATACGAGTAACTAGTTAATCAGTCGGAATGTCTTGCGATTAACCGATTAGCAATTTTGTATACGATTGCCATCCCTATTGAAGAGGGTATGGCTGTCTGCAGTTTGTATTCAGTGTGTTGGTGTATATTGTTGCAAGTGCTGTAGACTAGTGATGAAATAGCCATTGACTTATCCTTTTCATTTTGACTAGAAAAGGGTAATTAATTTATAATTAAGAAGATCACAATTCAGAATGATGGACAGTGGAAAGACTTGAATTTAGTTTGCATGTGTTGCAGTTGTTTGGTGATGAGATGAAACAGTTGTTTGGTGATAAGATGAAGCATTTAAGTGATATATACATTTGTGTACTAGGTTATCTTAATAATTTAGACACTTGGAAGGTGCAATGTTACAACTAGATCCAGATAGTGATATATACAGACTAGTATCAGGCTAGGTGACAAGAATATAGCTTCCATTCTGAGGCAAGGATATACGTGTGTATGTATTGATATTGTGAACACTACAACTGGGGAGATACTGTGTTCTTGGAAAGAAATTTTATTGCACATGTTCAATCCCTGAATAGGTCTTTGAAATTTAAAACTGCATGTAAATTCTATGTAATCTTTCAAAAAATTCACTCTGTCAACCCTGGAATTATATAGGTATGGAAACACACAGCTGCTGAAACCTGAGGATGTCCCAGTATTGATATATTGCTGGTGATTGATGGTACATAGATTGTGTAAAGAAAGTCAAATTGACAAAATTATAAAGGCTTCAAAGTATGAAAAGCAAGGGATGCAACTCTGGTACATATAGTATCTGTAGGTGAATGGGAGCCAAAATTGTGAATTTCATGGTCTGTGCCCCTCTACAGCATGAGGGAGAGGGCTAAAAACCATCAAAGTTAATCATGTTAATGTAGTCTTTTAAAATCTTCTCGTTTACTCCTGGACTCTGACAGTCCGCAGACTGTTGCCATGACCAGAGTAAGCATTGAACCCTCTACCAAAATTTTGAAATTCATGGTTCCAGATTCAAGGGTTCTGGTGTGAAGATGGGGCTTTATAGATCATAAATTATATAGTGAAAATGAATGAATATTTCAAAGAAATTCTTTTCTCTAGGATATCTATATTTAGCAGAAAAACCGAGTGCATAGATATGATGAGGAAAATGACTCTCCCAAACTGTGAAATTCATAGCCCAGGGGTCCTTTGTTAGGATGTGGCTCTATTGGTCTTGCACTGAAAGTGCATTAATTCTTTGAAAACCTTTTCTCTGCTCATGGGTAATTAGAATATAAATGAAGTGCATGGTTATGATAAGCAAGAGGGCCTCTTCCAAAAATGGCAAAATTCATGGTCCCTGGGTTAGGGGTTCTTGTGTTAGGGTCAGACTCTTTTGCTCATGAAGTGTTAAATCCATTTTTTAAAACAAATCCCTTCTAGTGTTATTAAAAAGACAAACTAAGTGCATGGTTATGATGAGCAAGGGTGCCTCTTCCAAAGTTATGAATGCAATTTTGTCACCGAGACAAAACAATAGAACACTTTTTATGCAAAGGCACTTGATGTTACATATTTTTCTTGTTAAAAAAATTATAACCGTTTATCTAATAAATCACAAGGTACACATCACTGCCATCTTAAATTTTTCTAGGTCAGTCACATCAACTTGTTTTTTGTCTGAAATTCGTGTGAAATTAATTCCTTGCAACCCTATTCATTCTGTGGTCAGTCTTTCAACCCCTCAACTTTCAAGCGCTCAACTTATGGACACTCGATATACTGATTCAACAATCCAAGAAATCGCTGAAGGGGGAGAGAAGTTTACATTTATATACTAATGGGAAGATTTTTCCTAATATCTTCCTCTCAAGAACAGCAAAGCCATGATTAGCCATATTTAAATGAAAGCATCCTCTGGTAGTGTAGATTCAAGTTTATTCAAATCACGATCCCTGGAGATAGGGTGGGGCCATAATGTATGATCACAGTTTTACTTAGGATGAAAGAAAAAGTGAGCAAGCTCACATACCCCACGCTCCCCCAAAACTCGACAATGCAACATGTAATGAATGGCACAGTGCACTTTAAATACACAGTATAATTCAAAAAGGGGCATTACTTGCAAAAAATCATCACATCAAAACTTCTTGCATATAAGGACATTCAAATCTTAATTTGTATGTTACAAATTTAATTGGGCTGAAGTTATTAGATAAATAATGGAATTAAAATTACTTGGTAATATACAAATCTATACATTATGTCTGAAATACCTACAAAGTTTCAGGAAATTCAGTGCGGGTGTTATGCTGACAAACTGTTATTTAAATTCCTCAGTGATTTCGATTTGTTTATGAGTGTAAGTCCATGTCCAACACATGACAATTTACACATTTAAATAATTGATTGAAACAAAATTATGATGTAGTCATATGAATTTGTTTATATACTGTACTTATGAAATTATTTAAGGCAAAGAACCATTTTGAAGGGGGGGGGGGGGGGGTAGAGAACTATCCAAGATTTTGTGTGTGTGTTAAATCATTAATATTTTGATCTCAAAATCAATAGGGGTCTTTTAATGTCATAAAATATTTCACATAAAATTTCATTACAAAAGCTGATTCCAGCGGATTTCCTTATTACCTAGCTGGAAAGTTTCTTCAATAATAGGCAAAACTCTTAGGGTAAAAATAAAGGAATCGGAATTTCCTGGTAATATGCACATCTACACACTGTGTACTAAATATCTGCAAAGTTTGACCAAATTCTGTGCAGCTGTTCAAGAGGAGTTGCGCTGACAAACTGTTCATCACTATATTCAAGATATGGCCAAAAATCTAAGTTGAAAGGTGCTGAAATTCCCAGAAAAATAATGGAATCGGAATTTCTTAGTAATATGCACATCTACACATTGTGTCCTGAATATCTGCAAAGTTTGACCAAATTCTGTGCAGCTGTTCAAGAGGAGTTGCGCTGACAAACTGTTCATCACTATATTCAAGATATGGCCAAAAATCTAAGTTGAAAGGTGCTGAAATTCCCAGAAAAATAATGGAATCGGATTTCCTGGTAATATGCACATCTACACATTGTGTTCTAAATATCCGCAAAGTTTGACCAAATTCTGTGCAGCTGTACAAGAGGAGTTGCGCTGACAAACTGTTCATCACTATATTCAAGATATGGCCAAAAATCTAAGTTGAAAGGTGCTGAAATTCCCAGAAAAATAATGGAATCGGATTTCCTGGTAATATGCACATCTACACATTGTGTTCTAAATATCTGCAAAGTTTGACCAAATTCTGTGCAGCTGTTCAAGAGGAGTTGTGCTGACAAACTGTTCATCACTATATTCAAGATATGGCCAAAAATCTAAGTTGAAAGGTGCTGAAATTCCCAGAAAAAATAAAGGAATCAGAATTTCCTGGTAATATGCACATCTACACATTGTGTCCTAAATGTCTGCAAAGTTTGACCAAATTCTGTGCAGCAGTTTATTAGGAGTTGCGCTGACAAAAAAACAGGACTGACAGATGGGTCAAAAACATTATACCCCCCGCAACTTGTTGCATGGGTATAAATATACTTTATCTTTTCCTCTAGAACAGCAAAGCCACGGTTAGCCTTATTTATGCATCAAGTAGTGTATATTTAATTTTGTACAAATATGAAACCTGGGGGAAGGGTGAATTAAGCCACAATGGGGAGAGGGCTACCAAAGTTTATTAAACTTGTGTCCAATCCCATTGACATAGATTAGTGTCAATAAAATATCAAAACAAAACAATGGGTAATCAAAGCTTTTCATTGAAATGTAAAGAAAAACAAGATGTGTTTGTGAAACACTGATGCCCCCGTATGACAACTTATAGCGAAGGTTAAA